AGGCCGCCATGTTGTTTGATCGAGCTAGTACCCAGGTCTTTTGCAATTGGAGACTGAACCTCTTCATGTAAGGTACCTTCAGCTGTTTTCACGTCGTTTGAGAGAGTTTTGCTCCCACTTAGTTTTTGTCCAAACCTGCGGAAAGGTTTCAATATTTTCTATTCAGTGCTGTGAAGACAAACAAAGTTATCTCAGAAATGTTTGGCTTAATTAGGCTGATTCGAGAGGCGAGCATTTTAAGCTGATTTTGTAGTACTTTGGTCATCGGACTTCGAACGAAGATGTTTGATAATCATTGTTTTGATCTTGCACAAAAATGAGTATGAACAGAATAGCTATCAGAACAAACAAAGGAGATTATCTTGGAGGCGAGAAAGTCTACGGGTAGGAAAAATATGTTAATTGTTATAATGACTAGTTCATAAGTACATGTAACAGGATCGTGGATTACGTTTTCGATTTTATGCACGCGCGTGCATGCTCAAACGTTCATTTTCATTTCGTGTTCACATGTTTGGTCAACATGCTTTCCAGAGACAAAATGTCGTTTTAATGCCGATAGGGTTTCGACACTGAATTTAACATACGGACCTTTTTTCCTTTAACTGGTAATATGGGGTTAATTGATTCAGGTGTTAATGTTTGATGATATAAATCTACAAAACAAAAAATTAATGAATTTTTTAAGTAGTGAAAATCCATTAACTTTGGCTTAAGCTATAGCATTTTCCTTGATGGGTTGAGGCTTGGGTGGAAAATATCATGCAAATCACCACATTAATTATTTATGTCTCTTGGTTCCTCGGGAAATAGCGTAGGAAAAGTTGAAACATGGGTAGAATTTCTCATCACTAGAGATATAAAGCTGCCTTACATCAGCCATTAAAACCAGGAAGAAAGGAGCCAAAGAAAGAGTACAGATGTTTACAATATTCACTATTGGTATTAAAAAGCAAAATTGAACAAACCAAATCATTCGAAGGGTCACTTAAATTCAGTTGAAAATTGCTCTAAATCAAGGGCCTTACTGTCTGGTTCGGTCTCCCTGCCTCAGCAGTGAAAGAGCTCTCAAATTATCTTTGTAGGACAGGGCTATCATTAAGAGCTGGGAGCAGGGGATTACTGTGTGACTATTATGAATGTGGCCCCTGGCTACTTTCATAGGAAAATATAGGAAAGATAGAACCAAAAGAAATCCCTAGCTGTTTAATTCCTGACCTTCTTGTTGTATTTACCTGGCAACTTGAAATCTTAGTGACAACCCTGGGTAACATAGTACTAAAAACACTGTATTCACTCTTTTCATCAAGACCATAATGTACCATTATGGTCGTGGTGAAAAGTGTGAATATGGGAGCCTGATTATAAGGGAGAGTCTCAAACCTTCACACCTTCTTTGGGTCGGAAAATGAGGGGAGATCTGGGCTCCTCCTCTAGATCCACCATTTTAAGGAGTCTTCGTTGGGGGCAGTTTTCTCAGCACCATACTTTCAACCCAGTCTTGCATCTTTAGATGTCACTTCTAAACTCACTCAGTTACAGTTACTGTTACAGTTTGTCAGTGGTCTGTGCTTTTGTCTGTAGTGGCAAGTCTTTTACTTACCTCTGTCATTTTTTGTCATTTTATTATTAATTTTACAGAACAGTCTATCTATGGATTTGTGGTACTGATCCATGCAGAGGAGTAAAACTCAAATTTAGAGGATATGAAAAATGTGAGCAATGAAAGTTTGTTTCCCTCATACTCACAAATAATTTTAATTTAATTTAATTTAATTACTTATATTGCGCAGGTATTCATAAAAATGATCAAATGAACATTACATTAGTAATAAAAGCATCAAAAAATAAAACTACAAACCTATTTACAATAAGTAAAACAATAAGAATATATATATAAGAATATATCTTCTGCCATAAAAACCTAAAATATGTAACAATTAAAATTCATTCAACCATATAAGCAAACTTAAAAAGGTATGTCTTAAGATTGCTCTTAAAGTAAGAGTAAGTTTGACTCTCTATAAGACGAACACCTCTGTAAAATGGACACCTAGAGTTGGTCCCTTCCTTTCTTTACTCCCTTTACTTGACTCTCTATACGACGGACGTCACTTTTAGATGGACACAAAGTGTAGATCCCAAAGGTGTCTTCTGCTTAAGAAAGAGTTGACTGTATACAATACTAAGATCACTGACGACTCACCTCTCAGTGACACATTTTGCAAGGGTTTCACACAAATTTTTCAACTAAAATTTGAAATAGAGTGATTTCAAGTATTAATCTTGGTGCACATAATTTCATACCTAGATATCTTGAGGACCGAGCCAAAGGTGAGATCTGGTAAAATCTCAATTGTACACATGATCTTCTGTCGGGAGTGTAATGTGTGACAGGGAATGTAAGGGTGTACTCCTGAAATTATTCCAGTGTGGAAGAAGTGCCAATCGGAGAATTTTATAGAGCTGTAGAAATTTTCTTTAATAAAACTTGGAGTGCTAAAAGACTTCACTGGATCAAGATGAAAGGGTCACCTGTTTATGATTTGGATTGAGAAAATTCCAAAACTTAGTAATAAATACACTTAACAGTGTGGCTTATCTTTTTTTAGGTGAATGGGAATACAGAGAAGTTCATCAGGATGAGGCAACTCAATTGCCAGTTGAACAGATTGGAACAAAGAATTGCAGGAAGGACATGTTCAGAGCTGAGCTGAGACTCATAGAATATCCAGGTAATTATCAAACAGCAATGTGCATTAAAAAGCACATGTGATTTGTATTGTACATTCAATATTCATATTTTTGGTGTAAATATCCAAAAAGTAAAAAGTGGGAAAGAAACTATATAAGTTACAAGGAAAGTTAAGAAAATGAAATTACAATTGGTCAATGATAACACTTTTAAGAAAATGCCCATATTTTGTAAAGAAGACAACAACGAATAAAGGAGGTACCAGAGGAAGTGAAGGATCCTTGGAAGCATAGTGAAAACATATGAGTTTGTTATCGTTTCGCAGACATCCTACAAGAAAAGTACCTTTTAAACTTTGTTTTAAGGAGGGCTGTTTGCATTCCAGGTATTTCCCATGAATGTTTTTTTATTTAAGGAGGCAGTGTGGCAAAGTGTTCATCACGTCAGACTCTCACAATCTGGCAGTCCCGGGGTCGAGTTTCATTCTAGCCACTTGCTGGATTTGTTCTCGGTCTTCCCGTGTTCAAATCCTTGGCCACGATTGTAAATAGCCAACTGGTTACCTCCAGCTGCCAATTGGGGTTTTTAATCCTGTTATGTTGTATTTGAACTATTTGTTTCTAAGTATTTGAGTGGAGTGCCTGTAAACTAGCTGGATAAGGTAAGTGCACCTTCCTTTATAAAGAAGCCCTTAACCTTAAACCTTTATCTGATATTAATAACCAGGCATTTTTTTGTAGATGGAATACCTATGGGATGTTATGCTTATCCATTCCATTATACCCTTCAGCAAGGTCTACCAGGTTAGATAATTTTGGAATGCTCTGTTGGCCCTCTTTAATATCTTTCTAGTTGTGAACCTTTTATTCAATTTCTTTGATAACCAGCTTCATTTGAAGCCAATGGAAACCAGGCAAATGGAGACAAGTGGAAAGCAGAAATCACTTACAAAGTTATAGCTGAGGTTGACAGACCTGGATCTGACGAAGATCTGAAGGTGAGGTATAATTTATTATTAATCTGTCTTCTTACCACAAAAATTTGGTTTTATTGTCTACCATGAAAAGATTCAAGAGCTAATGTTTAGTGTGGTACGTACCCCTTTGTCAAAGCAAGTCAAGGGTTTGTGGGTTCTATGTGTTTTACATGAATGTGTGGCCAATATAGCTACTCCAGTGATTTTGTTACCTGTATGTCCTGCCTCCCTGATGCAAAAATATCCCCAGATGCAAAATGATTCATGGCAATGCATCCCATAGGATGCAAAGATCAATCATTTCATCTGAGGATGTTGTAATTTGTAGAATATCCTGTTCGTGTGATTTCTGTGGCTGTCCTGGGTGTTGTTTAAAACGATGCATATTTTTCTTTTAGTCTTTGTTGTTTTTTCAATCTATAGACGGAATATAACATTATTTTTATTTCTGTCAGTGACTTGTTTAATACAGAGTTTTGGAGTCTGTCTCCAGATTAACTGTCTGGTTACATAAAGGCCCAAGGATTTTCAGTTTAGGACTTGTAGTTTTTTTGAACTGGATTCATTGGCTCTGCAATGAGACTCATGATTTCTCTCAAGATGAGTCCCCGGACTCACGTGACCATAACTATTTGCAACAAAATCACTGGCTACTGTATTGGTGGTAAGCATGCATTGTAAAATGGAAAACAAGATAAAATTAGCTGAATGAAGAGTTTTCATTGATTCAGTGCACCCCCGAACTTTAAATAGAGTGTTGTATTTTGGCATCAGGAGCAAAAGCTAGAGTAAACCCTTGTGACTTCTTACCAAGATTTTGGGTAGTTTTGTTTTGATCCTTTTGGGCAAATAGTGAGCTGGAAATAGCCTAAAAAATTGGCAGAATCTCCAGTTGTATGTTAGGGGGAATGAAATGCCGGTCATTGCCGTTGTCTAGAGAATACAACATTGAGTAATCAGTATCCGTTGACTGGAAAAACATTTTTTGGTCATAAGTGGATGCTCTGAAACTCTGTATTTAAGCTTGAGCAATTCAAAAACAAACTCCATTTGCACAAATTATGAAATTGTTCCAACTTTTAATGAGAGTTTAATATTTGTAGTACACCGTGACACATTTATGACTGAATTTCTTATTATTTTGTGTTATGTTGAGGCTTCACAAGTCATCACAGTGAATGAAAACCTTCCCCTTTCACCTGTTGAGCCTGAGACTGTGACAGAACGAAGAACTGTTAAAATGTGTTGCTGCATTCCAAAAGGAGATGTTTTGCTTAATTCCTGGTATGTCTTTGGTTCCTTGTCTGCTGCAAAATAAAATTAAGCATCTCATGCCCATTAAATTTATTTTTGGATACCTTCTCAAAAATTATCTTATTTTTTGGTTCAAGAAACTGAGTTGTCCACCATTTCAAAATCATAACCAGCCACAAATGTCTTGTAATTTAACAATTTATTTTATTTGTATTGAAGTCCTGCATGTCATGTAGATGTTTTAAAATTAATGATGTCCAGGAAACATTCACTAGAAAAGTGCAAGACATCACAACTTGAATAATGTGCACATGCTCTTCAACTACACAGTTTAACAGTTATGTACCTACCTCAGTTAACTAGTAATATTATTATTATTACTACAACAGTTACTGTCCCCATTCAACAGAAAAGTCTTAGATGCTGATGAATTATTGCAACTGAAGATGTTACAAACTACTTATTAATTGAGAGTGAGGTTATTATAGGGAAATCTCAGACAAAGGCCTTGATGTATTGACTTCACTATCGCTCAGTCAATACATCAAGGCCTTGGTCTGAGATTTCCATGTAAATATGACTGAACTGATGAGGTTAATAAGTTAGTTATTATATGGCCTGTTCATTATGGACCTGAGTCTGTAATCAATTAAAACCAACAACAACTATAAAAAAAACAGGTCACCTGAATGAGTTGTACAGTTGAGCCTACAATATAGTCTGGTCACACTGGTCTGTGGGTGCCCTTTTTGACAGCTGTCAATTGACCATAACATGTATGTCCATAAGGATATCCACTATCAAGTTATACACAGATTGAATACACCTACAAGAAAATAGCCAATCAGAGCGTGCGTACTATTGTAGCCATATAATAATAAACAATGATTGTTCTCTTTCTTTGGCTCAAGGCTGGAAAAAAAGGTTTACACATCTGGTGAATCAGCTGTACTACATGTTGATGTTAAAAACAACTCTAATGTGGATATTGATGCTTTCATCATTAAGGTAGCCAAATAACATGCTTTTTTGACATTCATTTCTTTCATTTTAGTTGTAGTGTCATTTGATTTTTATTCATTGTTTTCCTTAAAGTTGCAGCAACATCTAAAATCTTTAAAGCTACATGTCATTTCCCTGTTTTTTTTTTTATTTTGTTTTGATACATTAAATGTATGACCAATATTTGTTTTATTTTTTGTGGTGTATTTTTTAAATGGTAGCTTATTAGAGTGGTAAATCTCAGACCTCAAGACAAAGAGCTGTCATCATCTGTCAGCAGTCATGAGAGCAGACCATCCATGCAGTCAGTGAGAATCCCTGTTATTATAGACACTATGCTGCAGAAGTCATTGGATGGTTGTCAGGGAAAGCAGCTCCGAAACTTGTAAGTAACTTTAAGCCAAGACTTTGTCTTTAATAACTAACCAAAGACCTAAGAGTTCCATACCATTATTCTTCCCGTATTTTTTTTGCCAAAAATGGTGCAAATTCATTTATCAAGAAAGGAACTTTAAAATGGATCTCCATAAAAATATTTAAAGGTCATAACTGCAAACAAATACAAATTAAATTAAATTTTTTGTCATTAATAATAATTAAAATCTACGGTTGAGTTTTTGTGCCATCATTGACATGTGCAGTTCCAAACTCCCGAAAATTGGTGACAATCTTCTTCATATTGCTTCAGGGAATTACCTCTTGATCTATGGGAGGAGTCTACACGGGCAGAATTTCAGCCTTCTACAAATGGTTTGATCATAAAGGTAAACAATGATAATTTACTAATACACAGTAGCTGGAGAGACTGTATTGATTCTGAAATGGGAGGTGTGAGGTGGAGGACAGAGTCACCCAGTGGCTATTTACACAAGGTTATAGGATCAATTTTCTATGATGACATTGGCAATATTTTATTGGCACTTGACTCTTGTTGAGTTTAAATGTGAATCCACATAATTCAGCCTGCACTGCAGATGGAACTAAACTTCTGCTTTAGTCCATCTGAAAAGCAGCACCAAGATCCGAGTTCTGGGCCCCAGTTGTGTACCAGGATTTGAGTACTTGCCATGATCGCCCTGCTAAAAAAGCCGTTGCTGATTTGCCAATCAGGCCCGGGTTGCTAGAAGCATGGTTAGTGCTAACCAGCATTAAATACCATGGAAACCTATACATTTTGATACCTCTTAACCAACGGTTAGCACTAACCAGGCTTCGAGCAACCGGTCCCAGGTTGAAAGGAAACTCAAAATGTATTTCCAGTAATTTGTTGAGCCCGTTGGGGGCCTAGAACAAAGATGTCCATGTTGTTTAAATTACCTCTGCGATGCAGGGTAACATAATTAAAGTGTTGCAAAGATACCGGTTGATCAGCACTTCCTCAGGAGAAAAAAAAAGGAGGAAGAGAAGGGATAGTTTATTCAAAGGATCTGGAATTTTCAATCTTTTCAATCTGAGTAGGGTCTTTATTTGAGGATTTACAGTACTATATAACTTTCCATGCAAGGGTACTAATGTCATAAATCTGTTTTGTTCTTAATGTTTTAGAGTAAATACCATGTTGATGTTGAGATGGACATTAAGTGGGCACAGCCCATCTCTGTTCAGTTGCCTGTAACATTAAGAGCACCTCCAAACCAATCGGTGAGCCACATTTTATTACTTTTTCTTGTTAGTGAACAGGGACAAGTTGCTTGAAGCCTGGTTAGCTCTTTTCCTTAACAGAACATTTGAGTTGCCATGGCAACTAAACCTGGACTTTAGCTAATCAACTTCTGAACAATCGGGCCCTGGTCACCCTTAATTTGTTTATTGTGTCTGTCATGTCATGTGGAGTTTTTGCTTAGTTAATACTTTTTTTTTATTATTTGTCAGTGGAGTGATTGGGAACCACCTCCCTGGGTGTACAACTGTCGTGTAATTAAGATCACTGGTCCTTGTGCTGTCCCAGAGCATCTATTAGGTAAGTACCCTCCAACCCCTTGTAGTCCATATGTGAAGTTTTTTCAAACTTAAGCAGAATCACATTTTTAAGTTTTTTTTTGAGACTTTTGATAACCAGTCAGTTGAAAGAGTGCTGCCCTCAGACTACAAAGCATGTGTCAAAAGTTGAAAAGAATTTTAATGAATATATGGAAAAGTACTGAAGTATACACAGCTTTTCTTTTTATGGGCCACGCATTTTGGAAAGAGAACATTGAAAACAGAGTAATTATTGGGATCAAACGTTTTAAATTGTTGTCTAAGGATGACAACGGCCTATTTGAATAAAATAGGTCTTAAAATGAGGGAATGACGTTTCAAAGAACTTAGCTCCTCCTAGGGTGTGGCCATGTCCCTCACTCCACTTTCCCCTTCCCCCAAGGAAAGTACACTTCTGGGGCATATTTTTTGCCTTACCAGCCATGAATGGTCCCTTACTTTCTGAGCTTACAGGGAGAACACTGCACACTAATGCGTTTTCAAAAGTATGCATTTTGTTGTCATGATCAAAAACACGTAGATCCAGCCATGTCCACATTACTTTTGAAGTGTTTTTGACCATCCACACCAACACATTCGAAAACGATAGAATTGTATGTTGTGATGTCAGTTGAAGTCTATGCACATGCTAAAAACACATGCAAATAATGTGCATGCAATAGTTTTGGTCATCATTTTCACTTTGATGCATTTTCGACCGTTTTTGACCATCCACACCAATACAATATGTATCAATTTTGTTTATCCACTTGCAAGAGCCTTTCAAATCGATGTGTTTTCAATGAAAACGCTCAGCATACTGGTCTTAAATTACTAGTGTGGATGGGGCCTCAGCCAAAATCCTTAATAATAGTTATGTTTATTAGATCACCTGTTTTTAGCCTCTTTTGTTTGTTTTCTTTTCTAGGTTCCAAAATGTTTGCCAACATCCCAGGGATCCAGGCAGACCCTTTTTGATAATTTTTTTAAAATTGTATTACATAATAATTAATTAAATTATGTATAATATGATATAATATTACCTTGCAGACCTTATTAGGTCAATTACACTTGATTTCATACTTAGTGGATTGAATTTTTACCGAAGTGATCAATAATTGTTTAATGTCAATTCATCGTTCCCCCAGCAATGCTTAGTAGCTTGCCATTAGTACCTGTAATAGAAGAATGTAATTATTATTTTCTTCTTCAAAGGAACCTAAAATATTTAGTGTAATTCACGATATTCACATGGCATGGCATTGGTAATACATATACAAATATTGCGTTTAAACTGACAATTTTCTTGCAATTTGTTTATTTTCCAGGGATATTTTTAATAGTAAATCTGAGGTAGTACAGTTTTGTTTTTGTTACAAACAAGAAGGGTTAGTAGAAAGAATTTTTTTGTGTGCTACAGTTTTTTATATTTGCCCAGAGCTCTGGGGACCTGGCTAGTGCAAGCGACATCTCAATTGTTGCACCCTGATTGGGTTTGACTTGCATCTGTAACTGTAATAATGGATGACAAAAACTGTCATTATTTTTTATTCCTTGATACGATGGCAGATTAACTATCGCATTCCTTATCCTTTATTAATTACTTGACAATGCAATTCTTTAGGAGTAAAATGCTTTAAATTTCATTATTGTTATTTTACAAGACAGACTTGTAGGGTATATTCTGATATTGACTTTACGGTCAATGTTTTTTTAAATTTTAATTTAATTTCAATGTTACAGTATTGTTAAAGTTGACAAGTGTAACTCAGTGCATTGAAATATTATTGTAGTCATGAAATGTAAATGATAGACATATTCTTTATCCAATTATTTAAAAAGAATTGATCAATAATGGTATTTGTAAGCAGTCATAGGTTGTGCTATTAAGTATTTTTCTATAACCAACTTTGGAAAAAAATTATAACAAAGAGGCATTTACTGTTTTCAATAAATTAGATTTAGATTGATAGTACCAGAACCAGTGATTGATTTTAATACAGGGGATAACAGGTTGCAAAGATTATTAGTAATAAAAACATTCAATTAAGTACATTGTCTGTTTTTTATTCACTCTCCTCTGTTTCTGACTGGCCAACATACAATGGCAAGTTGCATCAAAAAAATATGGAAGACATTTGCAATTATTTTATTACTGGCATCACTGACACACCATCACAAAATCACAAAAGACAGTGGCACAGCAGCTTAGCTGTTTTGGCAGTCAGTGCAGAACATAAAGAAATTTGTTATAGAGTTCACGGCTATGCAAAGATGAAAAGCTAAATTACTGACAAAGAATGACAGCAAGAATGGGAAAAATGATTAGTAGGTTGAGCATGATTGTCCAGTTGCACATAGTCCTGAATAGGACTGTTGTTGTTGACAGTGACTGATGTTTTAACAACCTGTGAGGTAGTCATCTTTAGAGTCAAAGTGAGTTGTATCACAACAGTTGGTTTAATACTATCAACTGACGTGATACAACTCACTTGTACTCTGAGAATGACTACCACACAGGTTGTTGAAACGTCAGTCACTGTCAACAACAGTCCTATTCAGGACTACGTTCACCCGGACGATCATGCTCACCCTACTTATGAATTGACTCCTGGGTTCAAACCTTTTGCAAAATTATTGATGTCAACTGCTTTTTGAGGGGTACATGTATAGGCAAGAAAAAAGTTCTGTTCATGTTATGAAACTGCTGAGAAACAGGCAAATTTAAGAAATTCTATGTGTAGGGTAGGATGTCATGAGCTGGCTTGGGAAAATTTATAATGAATATAAAACCAATTATTCTTGAATTCTGAATTCATTGATTTGAACAATTAAGCAGAGCAATGACACTTCGATATAAGAAAATGAGAAAAATGACCACATTATCATCTTCAACCAATTTTTCCTTCAGTTGCTCATTATTTCCTGACAGTTCACTCTGTATTCACTTAGTTCTATTGAGTTAATGTTTCACTTAGCTCCCAAAGTTTCTTAGCGACTCCATCATCTCTGGTATGTGGTGGAAACTCCTTCATATCACAATCAGTAAAAACTGCCCCTGACACTTGGTCTAATTTCTTTTCAGTAGCACAATATATGATGGTCTGAGCTCCTTCTCTTGGTCTCTTGGCAACTATAAATGCAATGGGGTACAGCAGTAGCTTCTTCATTAAGCTTAAAGATGAGTTGCGATGAAGTTCAGTCCAGCATATACCAGGGCTTAGGGAGTTGACAGTTACACCTTAGTAAAATGTAAAGAGACAAACCATAGCATTAGAACCAGACTTGACAGTACCTTTACACAACAAGACAGTTCTAATGTAGACTATCATGCTCTGATGCAGCTGTCCTTTGTATCATCATGCAGCCTTTCCCTTTTTTTATAAATGGCTCAGTACTGAAGACTGAACAACATTCCTTTCCTGACATTTAGCCAATCACAACATAAATTTCTGGATACACCTTGTGTTCCATGAATATATTAATTTCTCACATACTCGCCATTTGCACATATCTCACAATACACCTTGTTTGCCCCTCCCCCCCTCCCAAATTTGGTATAAGCATTGTTTTCAATTTCTCTTGGGACAAGTCTGTAAAACCCAGGAGAAATTAAAAAGAAAGGTTACACAATATTCTGGCAGAGGCAAACAAGGTGTACAAATGACAGATGGGGCTGTCCCGCTGAAGGTGCTCAAAGTTTTTGTTCACTTCTAATTTCATTTGTATTCCAACGATTATACCCTGATATAACAGTAACCTTAGCTTCCCTCTTCCAGGGGATGTAATTCTACAGTAGAATCCCAATTTCTCACTTCCACAACCCTTTGTTTTGTTAATCCTCCTGTTACTTAGAACCACAGGCGAGTCCCCTTCACCAGGTCAAACACTAATTTTATTCCCTGGTAATTCAAACAGATCTTTCTTTTTGCTAGCCTGAGAAAACAGCAAACAAACGCTGTCTGTTGGGGAGAAGTTTTCCGTGACGAGACAAAAATGGAAGTGAGGGGGACTACTTTTTCCCAACAGGTTCAAGAAATTAGCATTTCATTGTATTTATCATTCTGGGCAATTACCTTCAGGAAGCCTCTTACTTAATTCATGTGCAAACAGCAAATTTGCAAGTTTGCTCTGAGCATAGGGTCCTTTCATATGATCCTGTCTTCCTGGATGACCCTTTTCTGCATAAATGTTATCAAAATCAATGCAAGCTCTCTTAGCCAGAGCTGATGATACTACAACAACCCGACTAGGTGATGATTTCTCAAGCAGCTCTAACAGCAGTTTTGTCAACAGAAAGTGTCCAAGATGATTTACACCAAAATGAATTTCAAACCCATCCTGGGTTTTGATCATAGGGGGGTCCATAAACACCCCTGCATTGTTGATCAGAACATCTAATCGTTTTTCTTCTTTCAATATTTCATCAGCAAATTGACGCACAGATGCCAGAGATGACAGATCAAGGTGCTTCACGACTAATATCGCATCTTTAACCTTGGAACAGATTTCTCTCGCGGCTTGCTTGCCTTTTTCAAGACTTCTACAAGCGAGAATAACACGAGCTTGACGTTTACCAAGCTCCACAGCTACTTCTTTGCCAAGCCCTGTGTTTGCTCCAGTGATGATCACAGTCTTCCCTTTCATAGACACGTTATTCTTGCATACTCCTCCTGCAAAATAGCAGCGTAAACGATAGTAAACGAAAGCCAGGCCAGCTGTTACAAGAGACACGGCAACAACGGTTGTATTGCTTGGCATTTCCCCGTATTTTCTCCCTCTTTTTCAACTTTCCAGACGGCCTCTAGGAGCCCATGAAGTCTTTGAACTGCGGATGCTACCAACAGTATCATTTCCTTCATTTATTTTGTCACTGAAACATCGTTAGTTCCCAATTTCTCTCGTTTTCCAACATGGCGGGTTGTGGCCACGAACACCATGAACACGAACATGACCATTCTGAATCGGAGAGAGGCTCCCAGTTTTATCTTTTCCAGAAAATCGACCTGATAAAGCTTCAGTGCCTCAATGAGACTGAAGAAGGCTCGGCTAAAAACGTTTTTAAACCGTGGGACGAACGTCTCGATACGACGAAGTTTGTGGAAAGCGATGTGGACGAAGAACTTCTGTTTAACATTCCTTTTGTTGGTCAAGTTAAACTCAAAGGCATCGTGGTTATAGGTGGAGAAAATGGCGACCATCCATCAGAGATGATGCTTTACAAAAATCGTCCATTTATGACGTTTGACGACGCAAGAGGTGAACCAGATCAAAAGTTCGACCTGAATGAAGATCATGATGGCAGTCTGGAATACACCCCCAAGGTGGCGCGATTTTCAAATGTAGAACATCTCTCCATTTATTTTCCTCGTAACTTTGGAGCTGAAACTAGTAAAGTTTATTTTATCGGCTTGAAAGGTGATTTTCAAGAGGCGCATCGCCATGGCGTGACAATTTGCACGTACGAAGCGAAACCCAATCCAGCTGATCACAAAACTGGAACATTTGACAGTGTACATCATCCAGTCAGTTAGGGGCGTAAGAGAAAGATATATTTGATAAGTCGAGCTCTTGAACTGCATTTGTTTTGATACAATATAAAAGGAGGATAGGTTCAAAAAAGTTCGACATTGCAGAAATGTATGATTTTACATTATAGCGCTTTTATATCACAATAAGAAAAGCTGACGTAAATCACAGCTTGCAACAAGGAAAGGGGTGAGCCATGCGCGAACACTCCACTATTTATTTAAGTGGCTTTGGGTAGTTAACAGACTATCCAACCATCCTGATTTTGTCGGGATTCTCCTGATTTTGCTGGAAAATCCAGAATCCCAACCAATATGTGATCAGGATAGGAAAAATCCCAATTTTGACATCTGTTCTCATATTTCCAGCACTCCCGCCAGCACTCCCATGATTCCTTGATTATTAAAAAATATCCCGATTTTACATACTCAAAAGGTTGGACAGTCTGAGTAAATGCTTGCAGTTCCCAAATAAACTGAATCTAATACGCAAACTGTATTTTTTTTTTTCAGTCTTGCCTACTGAATTTTAGACCAGGTACTCACAATGTATGGGTATTCATAGCTCAGTTGGTAGAGCACTGCAGGGATAATGCAGAGGCCATGGGTTGAAATCCCATTGAAGTCCCAAAATTTTGGGGGGTTTAATTTGTAAATTGCTTAAATTGTAATGATCATAGCAACAATCATATCTTCATTTAAATTTAAAAATTTTTGCATTTGCCAGCTCTTTGTGCATGATCATTCGTCTTGAAATGAGGGTTAGTGATTAAACTTGCTTGTTTAACATCAACATGCATAATGGCTATTATATTCAGCATTTGCTTTGTGTACACCCCACTATTATGAATGTATGATGCAAGTTCAAAGCCCCGTTGCGGTGGAAAACTCTTTTTCTTTTTGTATATTATTTTTTCTTTTTAGTTTTTTTCTGTTTTGTTTTTATCATATTTTTCCCTTTGCCTTGTTTCCCTTATTCTTACTGCTGACCCTCTATAGCTTCGCGAGGTTTTTGTGATAACATATTTCCAGTAGAGGTGTAAAATAAACTCTTACTAATGGGAACTCTTCCCAGCCATCAAGGAAAAAAAAACCTCATGACCCCAAGGGTATCTAATGGGAGTTGGCTGGAGTGTGAACTTTTGCTACATGACGACAAAGTAAGAACCAATCCATCTTTTATTTCAAGTATTTGAGTTGTTACCCCTTGAAATCTGTAAAGCAAAGACCCTTTGAAGTGTGATGACTTTGCACGTGCTGCGGACCTAAGGACATCGCGGGTGAGGAGAGCTGAGCCCTAATCCCCATATTCCCGCGAATATTCAAGACGAGAACAAAGATGGCGGCGGCCTTGAGGTGGGATGGACGAATGGGTTTGTAATTGCCGCGAGCACTCTTTTCTCTGTAGGTTGATATCACCATGAGTGGAAAAAATGTGGTACGTAAGTAGATTTTTGGAAACTGCTTCTTCAGTAACTGGTTCTAGCTGTTTCAATTTGCCATGTTTTGGACCTTCATTGAAATTCGTATTTGCAGCTCAGCTGTATTTACGGACACCCGCCTAGTACGGATACCTCATTATTACGGACAATTTGTTTGGTCCCTGGGGAAAGAAAGCCCTTATGTATAAATTCAACCGGCTTAATACGAACACCCCGTCAATACGGTCACTTTCTATGGCCCTCTTGGTGTCCGAATGAACGGAATTGACTGTACAATGCCTACAATGTCTGTTACATGAATGTCTCGGGCGATATACATATACTAGTGATTTAAGCTCTGACCTATTTCAGGCTAAAAAGACTATTTGAAATAATTGAGCAAATGTTTTTATATGATGTTTACGTAAGTTAAAAATAAATTACAAAGATTCACCATTGCCAGCTATTGTTGCTTAAAAAGGAGTCATTTTGGTATCCTTAATAAGAGAGGTTTGATGGTTGTAAAAGGGTTTATTGGTTTATCGCACCTGCCCTCCCCAACCCTTTAAGAATTTCAGTTTAGGTTTACAGCTATTTCAAGAAACGTTATCGGAAATAATGTGCACGCGACAATCCTGAAAGGTAACATGGGATATGATCAATACACTGTTCCGGACACTGTAGCTGTCGAACCTACTTTTGTTGCTTTACTTAAGCACTCGCAAACATATGCCCATGGCCTCTCGCGCCATTCTTTCAAATTTCTTTAAACAACAGTGAATCCCCCCACAATACCTTTCGGGATTGTCACATGCACTTTTTCCGACAACCTTTCTCGAAAAAGGTGTATTCTTTCGTTTCAAAATAAATGTTTTCTGAAAACACACCCTTTGCTCTAGCCCAAAACCAACCCTGTAATTGCCCTTCATCTCAACTTATCCAATGGCCAATTAGAAGACTTTAAGGCCAAGATTAAAAAACTCATCAACAATTCATCAAGATGCTTAGTCTTAGGTTCAGTTTCCAGCCAGTTTATATATCACATTCAACTGGTCAAGACTAGACTCACTGAAACGGCTGGAAATTATGCCTAGATACTGCAGTTAGTTTGCACACCTGGCTTAACATTTTCTCACTATTATTTTCATCTTTAGCTCATCAGACAACGGCTAATTGAACTAGAGAAGAAACATGCAAAAGCTTTGAAAAAACTTCAGGTGAGAATTATCCCTTATGTATACTATGTGAGTGGTTTTGTACAAAATTAAGTGCAGTACTATCATTATTATCACCAGTTTAGCTTTAATGTTTTCAAATTAACAGCGTGGTCCATGTAAAATCAAGCTATTCTTGCTTACAATTTCAGAGAGCTGAAAAGTACAAGCAGAGGCGACAAACTTTTCATGGATTTACAGTTAGAGATGCAAACACTAGTAATTCAATCACTCTGGACAACTCTAACCCTCTTTTATCTAAGGACACAATCTCTACAGTTGTTAGAAACTCACGGTGCTCATTAGCTCAGAAAAAGGGAGTTACTAAAACTGTGACATTCAAGGAAGCTCTTGACAGTGATAGTAAAGGTCAGTCTCGGTCAGAGAATGAATGCAAAATTGTAGAGCAAAGTGGCAGCAACAAAGCATTTAACAGGAAATCTGAATTATTAGCTTCAAGTATTCCACAGCAAATATCCGAAGACAATGAAAAGGTGTTGCAGTGTTCAGTCAGCAGTGACAACAGCTTTGTTGCAGTAGATAGTAGTATGGTTACACCAACAGATAGTGATGTGGCTTCTACGGATGGGAAAGATTGTTTCCAGAGTCAACAAGGTGTAGACCTTAAGGCTATAGGCAATCGTCTCTGTGGCTCAGGACAAGGTGTCGTACAAGTACCTTCAACAGGCAATGAAAGTTGTAACCATGAATTGTCGCAAAAGCAATGTCATTCTAATGGTCTGCTAGGGCAACATAATGCAAAAAATGTGTTAGCTCAAAGCAAAGAAAATGTCAAGATGAGGAATTCATCAGATCATCATAATGCACAAGATGATAGCACAAGACATGCATGTAGCTTGGAAAAAGCAAGTGACAGAGTGACTTTAATTGAAAATGGTGGAAAACATCAACACAAATCAACCACCAACTCATTCACCCTGGATGAAAGTAATGATTTTCCTTCAGGAAATCAGCCCTGGTTATGGCTCTTTGAAGAACAGTTTCCAAGAAGGTCTCCACGGATACAATCAATGCCAAACTTCAGAGATCGAGCTCATTTTTCTCAGGATAACAAAGTTACACATCCCAAGAAAACAAAACGCATAAGAAAGAAGAAGTCAAGGACAGAGAATGATACTCCAATCAGTAGAAACAATAACTTAAAATCTACCACAGTACATGAAAATAACAGCAATTCACCACATAGCAGTTTTCCTGAAGGGAGTTCATGTATCAGCAATTTTGTTTTTCCAAGGCCTGCTCAAGAACAAACAAAAAATGGTGGGTCTCTGGCTGTTGTAGTTGACTTTTCTCTACCTGATAGAGAGTTTGCAAAGCTGAAGCTTGCAAAAATCAAGGGAACTTTGTCAGCAGAAAGGTCAAGTAAAGACCTAAATACTGTAGTGGAAAAGATTACAGAAGAGCATGGTACTGAAGTGAAGAGAGATACAAAACTGTTTGATACAAAGTGTGAAAATAAAAGAGTTGTTGAAGAGAAAACAGCTGCAGAAAATATTGGTGAGTTGGAAGATCATGCAGCATCAGGACTTGAGGAAATGAAAGGTCAAACAGAGAGGACGGAAAAACACAATTTCAGGTTAGAAGGACGAGGTGTAATTTCCTCAACCACTGGTTCAAAATGTCTAAGCCAGCAAGAAAAAAAGAAAAACTCCACACAATTTGTTTATAATGAGCAAAAATGTAAAGAGTCCAGAATTGTATCTTCTGGAGATGCTTGTTGGAGCAATTCCTTTGAATCAGATCATGAACAAGTGGTTTCTCACATGCATAGTGTGACAGCAAAACAAAGTCAGGTTTCTTCAGAGAAAGAATCACAAAAATGTAAGGGTGTTGGAACTTGTGCAAATCACTGCAATTCCTTTCATATCAATGGTTCATGCACATCTTTTCCTGACATTGTTCAGCAAACTGATGACAATGAAAAGTTAAATGAATCCTACAACAATTTCTGTGATGCAAATTCCTCTTGGGTTAAATCTAACATCTTAGACAATCTAGGTGATGGATTATCAGAGGGGAAGACTCCACTAGCAAAATCCACTGTAGAAATTAATGAGGAAGACAATTTTTCAAGTCAGAAACATTCTAATGAATTAAATTTGAAAGAAAGTGTTGTACTCAGTGACTGTGGTAATGCAGTTTCCGGCGAAGCAACTGTTAAAGAAATGACAACGATCCCCATCAAACAGCAACATGTTCAAGACGAGGTCAGTTTAACTGAAGTGAAGTCTAGCCCACCTCAATATTACAATGAGCCGAGTTTAGGGGATGCAGCCACTCCACATGGAAAGATGAAAGAACCTTTAGAGAGCTCAAAGCTATCCCAGTTGATGTCACCAGAGGAGAGCAAAGACGTTTCTCCTTTGTTAATGAGAGCTTGTTTGCAGGTAATAAGGTGTTAAAATTTTGTATCTGGTGTTTCAATTTTATGCCTGATCTAAGTTTTCTTTTCTTTTCTTTTCTTTCACACATGATCATCACCATACATTATCACACAAACAAAGCAAAATATACACTGTATTGAAAAGGGACAAAATTTATCCTTGGAACAACTTAACATTAAAGGAACTCCTGGATCATATGGAAGGTGTTAGGGTTTTACTCTCCAACAACTTAATATGACACAATTAACTGCCAAAAGGAGGGGAGGGAAAAAGAAAAAAACTTTATCTACGGAGTTTTCATTAAGAATTGTAATAGCAGGAGAAAGGTGTAACGTTACAGGACAATATTTTGAAAGAGGCTTCTTGTGTGAATGAAAAATAATCATAGGCTAACTAATCTTATTCATAATAAATGGGGAATTCTCTGATCTCCGATGCCTAATGAATACCCTTATCCATCGAACAACCACTTGAGGTTGCTATCCAGTTGCTTCAAAGCACTGGTCTACCGAGCAGGAGGCTTCTGGTTCAAACCCGGCCAGACTAACACTCAGGTTCTTGAAATAACTGAGGAGAAAGTGCTGCCTTTGTAAGGACATCTGCAAACCGTTATGTTTTCTAGTCTTCTTGGATAAGGATGATAAATAGTAGGCTGTTTTTCACAACTCTTGCCCACATAAATTCTGTGGGATGTTAAAGAACCCACGCACTGTATGTTAAGAGTAGGGGACATTGTCCTCTGTGTGGTGGTCCATCTCTTATGTGGGGAGGAACTGTCATGGGCCCATAGTAATTGGCGCGACATGCTATTGCAGTGACCCTGCCAAGAATTAGCAAACCTAAGTAAGTAAACATATGGAAGGTGTCAGGGTTTTACATTCCAACAACGTATGACAGAATTAATTCCCAATAAGTTCAGCATCTACATAATTTATATCCATCTAATGGTACTCTCAAACTCTTTGAACAGCATTATACACAGGGAATGAGCAATAGAGTGCAGTCTATATCACTATCATCATATGAACCATCTAAAGCAAGGGACACAACAGTACAGTCAAAAGATAAGAGAGACATTTTGGCAGTTTGTCTGTCTCACATGGTGGTTATATGGACATCTGTGTCTGAATCACAGTGGACTGTGCTCAGTAAATGGACTCTGCCTGTGGTGAGAGATTGTTATATGATTATTTTATAGATCAGTGCTCAGTTAAGTGTGGAAAGTAGCTTGTGAATAGGCCAGTTTCAAATTATCCAACTTCATACAAACAAACAAGCAACAAAGTTTATTTGCATTACCATTTGTGTAGATGGTGTTGCATAAAAAAACAGAAAATTATATAATAATAAAGATAACATAGAGTAATAACTAAATAAAAAGAAAAGTAAATGCCCTGAAAAAGATATTCATAGTAGTTTAGGATTAATAGTATAAATGTGGTAACAAAGTGATCACAATGATGTTGGGCTCCCAGGCTGAGAAGAATAAAACAAAGGACATGAATTATTATTATGTGGATTTCAATGCAATTTCTTTTGTTTTATACCCCTCAGCCTAACAGCCCGGTATGAATTTTTTATAATTCAAAACTGGCCTGTTACCATGGGTTTGTGACTCTATACAGTTTTAGGCTCTTTCTCATCAAGAAACAAGAGTGAAAAACCCATTGACCAAAAACAAATTCAATTTAAAAAAACAGATTACAATACTGGGAAAGAAAGAAATTCTAGGGTTTATTATCCAAATAGAGTCAAGCTTAGACTGATATCCCCTTAAATGGACACTTTTTACCTTGACTATTTGTTGTTGCTAAACAGGATGGAGAAGAAGAGTTTGTGAGTGTCAAGTTTGTACCAATTAAGTCTCATGTTGTTCTTCTGGTTGGTGGAAATTTTCGTCATGGAAATGGAAGGTGGGTGACATGATTCTACAGCAGCATTACTGTTGTAAAGAGACCTTTCTACAGCTCTGTTATTGTAAAGGCACAGGATTCTTTGACTAACATTGTCTCATAACTTTTTTGCTTTAAATGTGACAGTTACGAAAATCTTAGAAAATTTGCTGCTACCTTTCAGCAATAATAATGAAAAAATTTTGATTTGACTGGCGGTAAACAGTTTCGTGATATTAAAGCTTAAGAAGTTTACTCCCATTTTTAAGAAAAGTCTCGTCCAAGTGATAAACTTTGCTGTTACTTTTATTTGGCTGAAATGTCTGGTATACGGTTTTATTGATGTAATATGTAAGTCAAATAAATCGATGGAGAAGAAGTCTGTAAAAATTAAGTCACTCTGAATTCAGCTTTGAAGTTATTTTCAAATTTTTGGGTAACAGCACTATCAATCTTGAGGATTTTATCTAAACCCCGAATCACAAGCTCATATAATAGGACCAAACTGATTTAAGTAGGGAAAGTTAAAAATTGTGTTTAAAAATATAAGACTAGTAAAACTGGGTGTAGTTCTTTTTTCTGTATTGCTTACCAAAAATGAAGGTTGGTATAACTTGTTCAAGGTTTTCACTTAAGAGGGGAAGAGACAGAAAAAGAAGGAAATATGGAAAATAAAACGTTTTCTGTTACTTTTACAATGTCAGAGTCCTTGGTTATTCAGAGGAGGGTGAATACTCACTGGACCTGGAAACTGATGAACAGTAAGTGGAGTGCTTCTTACCTCTAGGCTCTAACAATTTGTGATAATGATATCCGCCAATGAAAATAATTTTTATTTGCATCTCTTTCTTAGATTTTGTAGAACAAATGACTCTGTAATTGTGTTTGTAATGTCTCCAAATAAGTGGTAGGACTTGAGGAGAATCAAATCATATCATGTGTATGTTGTCAACCTTTATACTTCACATAGGTAACAGTTGTTATGGGAGCGATCTTTCATTTTTCGCCAGTTTTTGACCAGTGGATGTTACTACAGGAAAGAAAAAGCATACAGTTCTTAATTCATTTGTTTTAAACAATTCACAGAAAAAACAAGTGTTCCTTTTCAACAATGAGTTTACTCCATGATACAAAGGATTACAAGACTGGCGAAGACGTAGAGTTTGTCATAGGAGATAAGACATCTAATAAAATTACCCTGACAAAGTGGACTTTGGACAGCTTTTGTCTGTAAGTTGTATTCTGTGTAACACTGATGTACCATTTTTAGAAGAGTATGTCTTGTGACCAGAATAACTCATACTGCCACTAGAGTGGCAACAAGGTTGCTCATCTCTGAAACAATTGGTCTTAAATACACCATCACATCTCTATCGTTGCACCGTAAGCACAAATCGACATTTCAGTCCTAACAATACGCAGCATGTTTGTCACATGAACCTAGTTTAGGTAGCCTTACAGTGTAGCTCCCACAAGTGTCTTGTAGCCCAGTGGTATAGCATCTGGTCTAGGTCTAGACTGGAAGTAGGTTGTGTAACTGACCATCTAGGTTGTCTGAAGCTAGTGTAACTGACTGAAAAATCTTCTTTCTCAGAAAATCATTGGAGTTCACAGGGTTCTCAATGATGAAGGCCAGGCACCCGAAACATTTGAAGGATAATTTCAACTTTGGGATTTTGTTCATGATTTCTTTGTGTTTAAATGAACATTTTTTGCTTTATTTTCTTTGTTTTGACACCTCTGGCTTTGCTGAAGAGCCTCCTACTTTATCAGTGATCACCTCCTACTTAAAAATCTATTGAGAACCCTGAGTTCAGTACATTTTGCATTTGTAGTTGTTGTCTTATTTACATATTGTCAACCTACTTTCCTGCTATTCTTTTCTCATCAAGGTTGGTCGAACAGTGGCAGAAGTTTAGTCCTATCTATAGTGACTCTGAACTGTCATCTCTCCAATTTGTTCATGGAAGTCATTGTCTTCTTTTGGGGACTACAAATGAGAACTTGATATTGTGGTAAGTTTTCTGCAGACCAAATGCTCCTCTGTAGCTTTACTTAGAGGCCTTAATTAGCTTTAAAAACTGTAAAAAAAATTGTTACAGGCTTGTCCACTCTGGAAAGGCAACAATTTTTCTGCTGGTTGACTGCCTTGTCCACATTGAAATTGTTTGTTTGACCGACATAAACGGATATTTTATATTCTCTTAAAATGTTTCTTAAGATTTTTCCATATAGGTATTTTTTGGGGGCTTCTCTCTCTATTCTGTTGCAGAATTTTGTTTAAGAAAACTAGATGTCAACATGGTCTGTTTTGTGCGTGCGGTTGAGGAATACTCCTGTTCTTTCATACTCAAAATCTTAATTTGCCAGTTAATCCCAGTTTGTCTGTTTCACTGTGTACTACCGTTGCAGCTGACAGAGCACCACTAAGAGAAAGTGTTCACCGAAATCTTTTGAAGGCGATTACAGGCCTTTCCAATGGTTTAAAAGTTTGTTTCTCGCAAGATTTAATTTAGAATCAGTAACCATACTGTTCTTTCTAGGAACCACGTAACATGTCAACAATTAAGAAGCGTAAACCTTCACACTTCAGGCCTGAGTCAACTGTCTTGTATTAACGCTTTTACTGACAAGGTCAGATCAAAGTTTTTTTTTCTTTTTGTTTGTTTGTTTTTTTTTTGGCTAAAACTGCAGTCTGTCCATCTCTTATTGCAAGAAAACCCTCTTCAGGTTTTGACTTACATGTACAATAAAATTCTTTATCATAATCCTTTACGGCAAGGAAACTATATTCATTTCTTTGATGATGCTATACTAAAAACTAATAAAGATTAATTAGCAGGGAAGCAATTATTTCTGAGAGGATTTCTGAAGGTGATTTAAACTATCATTGTTAAGTGCAAGTGGCTATCATGGCATCCCTTTTTTAAATGATCTCTGTGGGGAGCTTTCTATAAAGTGATGGTCCTGGAGTGAAATATAGTTTTTTTATTGTTTTGTTTTTTTCAGGGTCTTCTTTTTTTGATAATGTCCAGTATTCCAGCACCTAAGGTAGTGTTTGTTACGTCTAAAACTTAATTACATTTCTCTTTCAACACAGCTGCTTCTCGTCTCTTATGTTCGAGACCCTGTTTTCCTAGACAGTCAAGTCTTGTGAAGTCTGCAAAAAGGGCGTTTTTTGTGCGTTTATGGACAAGTGAGAAGTCCAAACAAAGCACAGAACTTGAGCGCGACTGAAGGGGGCGCAGGATACTGTTAAACTAATGCGCCTGACTCGAGCTCCTTGTTTCCGTTTTAAACTCATACAATTTTCTAACGTAACGTAGCATTTAGCGTGTTCTGGTCATAGAAAAATGAACAAAGGACTTCAGACAAAAATAATCACCGATTAGTACATTTTGAACCTTCAAGAGGTGGAAAAATGTAATTTGACGATTCTGTAGTAAGTGGAAAACATTCGGGTTTTTTTATTTGACTTTTCTTCAAGCCAAAGAGGTGGGCAGCGATTGCGGGAGAAATGTATGGAAATATCAGCTGCGCTCATTATTTACAATTTGTACCTTTAGCTATCTCATTTAAAATGGAATACAAGGTTTAGGTGTGCTTAAATGCATCTGAGCATAATAACACTAGTCCCTGTTTGCGATTTATTGAATTATTGGATGTTGTGTTTTTTCAGGGATGTAATTCTGATTATAAAAACGGCCATGGTTGCTCGTTATACGCAGTGAATCCTAGAAATTCCAGAGGTATCTGCTTGGAAAGTTTTGCCTTACCCGAAAGGTCAGTAAGTACATAGAAAACTCTTATGTATTGTGAACTCCTATGTTAGGGTGTAAAATTTTGCTCCTGCATTAAAATAATGTTGTGATCAGAGAGACACGTGTACATCCTTTCAGTGTTCTCACCAGGATTTTGCCTTGGGGAGTCCCAGGGCCCCCTCTTCTGAGAAATAGGGGCCCTGTAAGAACATTAGGGGGACAAAGTTACAAAAAACAAGCGGTACGAAGAACCTGAGCCCGCACTCCAAATTGTCTGTTACATGAAGTACCTACCTGATCCAATATGGCGGAAGAGGTGTTTACGATTCGGAGGAGGAGTTTACGATGTAGTGGGACGTGCGTGGGACCAATGAAAGTAAAGGCAACAAAATTAAAGACTTTGACTCATTTTATTCAGACAAACAGAATGCTTTAGTGTTAGGGTGACCATTAAAACTACTTAAGTCCGTTTGACTCGTAGCTTGCCCCTGCGCCCTAACGGGCGCATCTTCTTGGTTTTAATGCGCCATTTCAGTTTTTTCTTGCGGGAATCCCGCAAGGCCGCGGCCTGGTGAGAACACTGTCCTTTCTGTTGTTGTTTTAACTGTAGGCAGAAAAAAGGAAAAGTGATTTGGAAATTGTTCAATAAAAGTTAATAGATGAGTTTTGTCAGGACTGAAGTGACACAACCATGTGATCTGATTTCGTTTAAAATTGTCGTTAACTGTCCCGTGTTCAAGGTAATCAACAAACATGCCTTTTAACTAAAATTGCACTTCTACCCCCTGACAACAACTTGTTCAATGTTGTGTAATTTACTTTTTGTGTTTGTTTGATGTTACATTTGTTCATTATTTAAGAAAATCTTAAAGGTAATGTATAGTTAAGTTAACCTTTGTTCACAGGGTCAGTGTTGTGAGCACAAATGGTCAGTTTATTGCTGCTGGAGATCAGGAAAAGAATGTGGTAAAACTTTGGAATATAACCAGCAGTAATCATTATGCCTCCCTTCAAGTCTTCCAAGGTATTTTTGAGCTCTATTTTGTTTTAACCCTAAACCTAACCTAAATCGCTAAGGCAATATGAGAAGGGAATGCCCATATCACTGTAACCGCGGCAAGAGAGAAAAACGAGAAGACCCTGGGGAAGAGGTTGTTTTATCCCTGTCCGTGGTAACAATCCCAGGAGTCTTTGCGAAAGTTACCTCATCCCAGATAATACTAATAGAACCCTATGTACAGCAGCCATGTAGCCTCCTACCGCCGCCTACTGTAACTGTTCTCTTGTGTTTTGCAGATGAAGTGAGCAGCATTGGTTTTCATCAAGACAAGCCTCTTATGGCCTTTGGAAGCGTTACAGGCTGTGTTCATCTCTTTTCTTAAGACTGATGAAGACTGCTTTGTAAATAGGAGGGAAGATAGTTAACGAACAGTCGGTGAGATATGAATTAAACTTGTACTTCAGTGTTCTTGCTTTTTTTGATGGAGATCATGAAGCGTTTCTTAAAAGACATTCCTTTTTCGAGGAAGGTATTCAGTGTTAAAGTTTGTTTGATGTCAGAAGACTCGTTTTGCTTCGCGTTTGTGAAGCACTCTGTGCTTTTTCATTAACTGATTGAATTATTTAAAGGCCATCTTTAGAGGAAATAAACGGAAGAATTGTCCAACACTCCTTGTTTAGTCGTATAATCTTTCCCTTTCCCAGGCGGAATGTTTTTGACATCCTATTTCCCAGCCCAAAGATTGCCTGATATTTTCCTTTCCAGTTGTAATGCAGTGGAACCTCGCTGTAACAAACCTCTTTATAACGAAGTCCTAGGTGTGACGAACGATTTTCTTGGTCGCAATACCTATTGATCGAGTTGTTTTACATTGGTATGCCTGTGGTGCGGACGGACGGACGGTCGGTCGGGCGGGCGGGCGTACGGTCGTGTGATTACCAAATTTTCTCGGATGAGTAGATTACTTTATTTTGTTACTCATGGTGCTCAGCTTCGCGCGAGAGCTCCGCTATTAAACTTCTTTGTAAAGCTGTTAGCCTTTTGAATCATTACCGTTTATAAAGTTAAACAGGTTGTTCTCAGTGGGAAAGGAACTTGCAAAGTCGTCATCTCCTGCAATCGAAACTTGTCAAATGTTTTGTAAGAGAAAAACACTTTTCAACATGTCTTATAATTATCACTGATATAAAAAGATTAATAGGTTAAATGCGTTAATACAACAGCAAAAACTATAAGCCTTACCCGATACAGTCTCTTTGTTTTGTTCAAAGCCGGGGGGGTATTGCTGAGAATTCGTGGTGGGGGTGTGCCTCCAGGTTCTTCAAATCCTGACTCTATTTCAGACCAAAAACTTTTCATTTTCCACACACCGTTTTCAGACCTGGGGCCCGTTTGTTTAAAGGCCCCATAACTTTTCGGGTCCGAAGGCAAATTTTGAAATCAAAACTAGTTGAATAGTAGCAAAGTTCCTAGCTCAAAAAAAGAGTCAATTTTACTTCGTTAACAGATAATTTCATTGTACCATCTTCAAAATTATTGAAACTTTGATCTTGAGTGTAAAACACAAACATAAAACAGCTTTACGGCCAGAAAAGTTATCGGGACTTTCGAGAAAAGGGCCCCTGGCCTCTAAGATCCACACTCGCTTTCAGGCAGAAATTATGTTATCATTACTTATATTAGAACGCCAACAAAAAGATTTCTTAAAATCCATTTCAAATTCGCATATTACCCTCGCTTCCTTATTCATTTGGAATGGAAACGACAAATTTGTTCATACACTCCGGTATTCCCTCAAAAACGATACCCGAATTCAGACAAAAATAGGCAAAATTTACACCCGTTTTCAGACCAAAACGGCGCAAAAACCACACCCTTTGGGGCGGCACATACCTATAAGGCATATATAATGGAGTACTCCCCCCCACACACACCCCAGTGATCAAATTATCTTTTCCTTTCGAATGCGAAGCTTTGCAAATTCACGTCAACTTTTCTGGAGCATTTTTAATAACAGTTTAATTGACAAGCATGTCCTTGAACATCGATACAGCTACAAGAGAGCCCTGTCAAATAATCTCTGAACGATAAGGTGTTGGTGTACTAAACTTACTTAGACGACGACAGCGACTCGACTGTGTAAAAAAGAACACTTCGGGATAAAACTAACAGCTTTACCCGTGCATCACTTTTTTCAGTCCACTTTTTGGCCGTCCTTTGTACACGAACAACAAGATACCGTAAAATTCCGAAAATAAGCCCCTCCATGTATAAGCCCCCCAAACTTGTAACGCAAAAAACCGTCCGTTAAATCCCCCCTCCATATATAAGCCCCCAGGGGGCTTGTACTCGGAGATTGCCCTCAAATACAAAGTAAAACAAAGCAAAAACGGTAAATTTCGTTCCAACTGTAATGCTAGCCCACTCGATTTTGAAATGCAAATTTCCCTCCATAGATAACCCCCTCCGAATATAAGCTCCTCCAAAAATAAGCCTCTCAAAAAAGGCCTTTGAAAAATATAAGCCCCGGGGCTTATTTTCGGAATTTTACGGTATTTCCAGTTGAGTTGTAATGTAGTATAAAAAAGACCAACTCAGATGCGTCTTACGTAAGAGGATTCCAAAATGATGTGGTGCTAATGAGAGGCTAGAGGTGGCCTTGTTTTGTTAATTACAAACCTTCCTTTTTGACATAAAAAGGACATGCAACCTCGTCCCCAGGCCACGGCGCTTTTCCCTGGCTTAGAAGGTGGGGCGGGGAAAAGGCGCCCTGGGGACGAGGTTGAAGGACATGTTCAGGGTTTTGTTACCATGAAACAAACAAAATTTGCACTTCGTTCCCTTTTGCTCGCGCTCAGTCCGAGCTGTAGAATTGTCGAAAATTTAAAAAAAGGTAGCCGGAAGGGAGCATTGCGTGACTCCGGCCCGAGTAGTAGGAGTAGCTGCGAAGGAGACTCGACTATAAAAGCAAACCGTAAACCGCGGGAGAAATTCAACCAATCACAAACCTCAAAAGCGAGACACAATGCGCATGCGATCATGATGCAGCGAATTTTCAAAAACAAAATATAATCATGGATTACTCATGGAATTAAAAACAATATCTTGCACTAGTCAAGTGTGTAAAGCTTTGCACTGCAGTGAGTAAACGATGAGTGTTAAACCGCCCGATTGGTCAACCGATATTAGTAAGAAAGGAGAGTTCGTCCGTACACCGTCTAAGTTCCGAAACCAAGTGACAGCTGATGGTTCCAGCGGATTTTTAGCCGAAGCTGATCGATATCACCTGTACGTTTCGCTCGCGTGCCCTTGGGCACACCGCACTCTCATTACACGAAAGCTTAAAGGCCTAGAGAACGCCATATCTTACACTGTTGTGGATTGGTTTCTTGGCACTGAAGGATGGACATTTACAGACAGCAAGCCCAAATGTTCACTGGATACAGTCAATGGATGCCGAACCCTAAGAGAAGTTTACAACCTTTCCAACCCTGAGTATTCGGGAAAAGTTACTGTGCCCGTGTTGTGGGACAAGAAGAAGAAAACTCTCGTAAACAATGAATCTAGTGAGATCATCCGCATGTTTACTAAAGAATTTAACGCGTTCTGTGCCACTGAAGAGCAGAAAAAATTAGATCTTTATCCAGATCATTTGAGTGAGAAGATTGAAGAGCTCAACGGATGGATATATCCGTAAGTACGATTACGTAACAAAGACCACGAAGATGACCCCGAGGAATGGACCATTAGACAAGTGATGGGGGTTGGGTCAGTGGGGTTGGGCTAAATTTATCAGGACATTTGTCAAGTAAAAAAAACACATGTTCAGTCATTGTTGAAAAAAGAATGTTACCAAAAGAAAAAAAAAAAGGATTTCCTCGTCAGGTGTGCAAAACAAAATTCTGGAACCCCCAAATAACCTCACCCCCTCCCCTGGCTTGCCAGGATAGTCCTGACAAAATATTCACTGAAATCTCTTGCTAAATCTTGTTGAAAAATCCAGGTTTTGTTGTAGTTAGGCCTATAGTTGTCAGTAGAAGAAGTATTGTAAGTGAAACTTTGTTGTTGTTGTTGTTGTTGTTGTTGTTTTTACATCTGCAGAAATATCAACAATGGTGTTTACCGTGCAGGATTTGCCACATCACAGGAAGCATATGATGTTGCAGTGAGAGATGTATTCAATGCCCTTGATAAGGTGAAAAAAATATATACTTCGTAAATGGAAAGCCTACATTGTGAACAGTCTCTAACAGTCTCTAAATCCTTGGTTTTCAGTTCATATAATCTGAAACAGCTTGCAGCAGTCTTTGACACAGTTGGAAGCTGTTTGCTTTGAATACATACACTCAACAGACAAATAATGCTCCCATTTAGTTTATCCTGGAATAGGGTATGGGAATCAGATGATTACGGTGTATAATAGACTATCATTTATGGACAGTCAGTCAATATTATGAAGACTGGAGTTTCTAGTTTACATAAAGTGCTACATTTGTAGTTTGGGATAGGAACAGGAGTTTTGGTGCATGGTGGTTGGTATTGAACATGGTCTGGTACAGGTCAATGGTCCCACTATCCCAGTGGCACACCCCTACCCCCAAATTCCTAGTCTTCCCCCACCCCACTGCAGTCACCGGTAGCAATGTTTCCTGTCACATTTATAAACTATTATGTGCCAAAGCTGTTATACAGAGGAGGCTCTCCCAACGAACACTCTCATAAGCCAACAGCTCTTGTTAAGGCTAACTTCACAAAACCCTCTTTTTCTCGACTCCCATACAAACGCTTTATTTTTTCATTCCTGTAAGTGGCCAGCTCCAGTTACAAACACCTTTTTTGCATCCCAAGGGTGTCTGCTTACAAGAGCTTCCACTGTACTTTCCTTGAAGATTATTGTATCCTTTCTTTTCGCCACTCTTACAAAGTCTTGAGATTGTATTGGAGTATTAAATACAAAATTAAACCCCAATTGAAGTCACTTTTACATGAATCTGCTGGCTTTATTTTTAGCATCAAATAAGAAACACATTACTGGTGGTATTCTTCCTATTCACTTCCTATTTGTGTAATCATTGATTGATTTTTAATTTCATTGTTCTTTCTGTAGGTAGAAGATATTCTGAGTAAATCTCGTTATCTTACTGGTAACACCATCACAGAGGCTGATGTTCGTCTCTTCACCACACTTGTCAGATTTGATATGGTTTATGTTGGGCACTTCAAGGTACGAATCTCACAATGTTTTTTAGATTAAAACATTTGCTCTTCAAGCATTTGTAATTAAGATGTTTTTTGGACACCGTCCAGCCAAAATGAAGCAAAGCTACCTCACAACGTAAACTTTGTTGCAAGGTGAGCCAATCTATGCTGGCTTTTTTGTGCTTATGCCTAATTATTAAACTTTCGTATTACACTTTATTATATGGCAATAATAGTGGCTATTAACTAGTGATGGCTTTTAACATCATCACGTGGCTTTTTAACTGTTTGTCTCATTGATTTTACTCAATAGTGTAATAAGAAGCGTATCATTGATTATCCCAACATCTGGGGATATCTTCGAGATCTATATCAAACAAGTGGAATTGGAGAAACTGTGGATGCTGAACACATTCAAAAACATTATCAGGTGAGGTGCTTGACAATTGAATCAGAGTTTTGATCTACTGTCCTGAGTTGTTGGTACTCTGCATAATACTTACAACTTTTCCTTCCAATGAAAATAACTCAAATTAACAAGGAAGTCATAAGAATGAACCACTAGAAATATGTGTATCCCAGAACCTCGCAAAGCTCAGGGGTCAGTGGCCCATGAAATGTTAGGGCGGGAGAGATCATTTCACATACTCTGTAAAATACTTTAAGACTATGTTACCCACAATAGGTGAGCTATTCTAGGTGGGCAGCGATACAATAATTGTCTCCTATAAAGTCACCAACAAAAATAAGTAAAGGGAAAGCAAAAATAAAATGAAATAAATAAATAAAAATAGAAGGTAGCACCAACTGGAAATAATAATAGTAAATGGTAAAACTATAACAAGTATGATACTACATAAAACTATAGATATGAGGGCCACAGAGTCATCAGTGTCTTAGGACTACTGTTAAGTGTTTTACCCTCTTTAAATAAAGCCTATTATTATTATTATTTGATATAAGGAAGGAAAACACTTTAACTGAATAAGGAGTTTGGGTAGGAACTGGTGATGGCACTCATATCAACATACAAGAAGTCAAGACAAGTATCAACATACTTTTTAAGATCTGTGTTTAAGGTGCTACTGTAAATACCTGTGTATACCTGTCACTAATATTTTACCTATCACATGTACACTGCAACTCAACAGTAACAGGCCATTGTAGTGCACCCTTGTCTGAGTTGGAGAGAAGCCTGGTAACAAGGTTGACAGTAGTAGTTTTGGGAAAGTGGGAAGCGAAGTTTCTTCAGTCAGTTTTCTGTAGTCCATGAGTTTTTTTTAGCATAGCCACATAGCACATCTTCGTATACTATTTTAAAATTTATAAATTGGTTATTTCTTTGTTTTCTAGCAAAGTCACGTGAAGATTAACCCATATGGCATTGTAGCTATTGGCCCAGATTTGGACTTCAACCAGCCACATGGTCGAAACTGATGTCCCAGCAGCACTTTACAATGCCTACATCTATTTGTAAAGTTAATTGCATATCTCACAAACAGCTTCTCAGAGGCAATAACAATGTACACTAGTTGATTCCATTAAAATATCTAAAAGACAAGTTTAAAAACTTGTCTTTCCTTGCCTTTATTCCAAGTCCCAGACTAATTTCTTGGTCTTACTCTATATACTTAAAGTTGGGGGGAGAGATGGCTGCCTTTTGACCAAAAATACCCTAAAAAACTCTACAAAAATTTAAGAACATGCACAACTTTCCTTCTTGGCTCAACAATTGGTTAACCTTTCTCTCAGGTTGCACCAAAAATATATATATTTTTTGGGGGGGGGGGACTCTTATCTTAAAGTTACAGGGATGCTTGTCGGAAATTAAAATTAAACTCTGAAGGGAGACCAATGTGGGTGTGGCTCAATCTTAAACTGACCCCTGAGGGAGACCATACTAGAACAGACATCACAGCATTTTTTGTAAATTTCTTTATGCCCAGCCCTAAAAGATACCTGAATGGGCAAATGTAGTTACTTTCCATCCCAAACACGAGTGAGACCAAAATCTGCTATTTACACCGCTGAGCGAGTCGACAAGCACCCTCGGGATCCCCTCCAGAGTCTCTTGTGGGAGCTAGCTCCAGACATTTTTTTGTCTCCAGGTGGGGTCACTTCAGGAAACATACTCATTTGGCTGGGGACGTGTCACCGGATGAACTCACTGGACATGTCGCGTGGCATTTTTGTCCTCAGTAACGTGAACAAGGTGTACCAATTTCATTGGAAACTGTCTAAACAAAGGGCCGGGGAGGGTGATTGTTGGGTAAAGAAATAGCAGCCAGGTAGGAATTTTATGGGTCCCAATCCCTCTTTCTATACAGGAACAGGGTTTCAATTCCTTGGGGGCACTTTTATGCCCCAAAATAGGTCTTGAGGTATCTGTAATTGGCTACAAAAAAGCTAAGAAGCAAAGGGGCCGTTACTGACCTTGGATGTTTTAATATCAGGCTACCTAGAAAGCCAAGTTTCAAGCAAGGGTTTCTTAATAGGTCATTTCCAAGTTGTCTCAAACCTCTGTTTCTAAGTGAGGAGCAACTCATTTCACAACAACGGTTTTGCACTTAGAAATGAGTTTTTGGAACCCAGAAATGGGCACTGGTGCATTACTCTTATTACAGGATTGGAGTTTAAGATGTATTTCGTCCCATTGCAAAATTACTAAATTTCAATCCCTCCCCCCCCCCAACTCCACCTTCAGATTAGCCCCACCAACTCTCAGGCTAGGGCATAATCGCAGGTCCTCTAGGCCTAGTGGTTCTGGCCCTTCGCCAATTGATGCCGCCTCTATTTATCCCAATGCACTTTCTATTTCTTTCTCCCAGCCTCAAGGGCCCAGTTGTTCAAAAGCCGATTAGTGCTAACCCAGGGTTTAATTTTTCTCTGGGTTTCTTTTTCTTTAGTTTAATAACATTTTCTCTGATAATTTTCCCTATTTCTTTTTAGAGCATACAATCACCAAATTGCAGACCAAAGGAATATTAAAGTGAATTTGGTTTTTAAGCTTTCGTATCTGAATTCAAATTTCGCACTATCCCAGGGTTATCTTAACCCTTTAAGCCCTAATATCTACATACAAATTCTCCAAACTGATCTCTATACATTTTCTTACTGAATTAGTTGGGAGAGTTTGAAAAACGATCGGAGAATTTTTCCTTTGGTAATAATTTTATCAATTCTCATGGCCTCTTCCCTTGATTGCGTATTGATAACGTTGGGAGAAAATTGATGTTTGTCACTCCCTTGGAGGGTATGAACCCGGCCCAGGCCTCTGCGAAGGAGAGAGGCGCGGACGGGTGAGCACTTGATAGAGAGAAATGAAGGCTTTTCATATCCGCTACGCCTGCAATCAGTGTTTTTCATCGGAATCTCTGTTCCACGAACTACGTGTGGGAACGTAGTACTCTCCAAACTATAGTCGATCGAATCGTTCGACTGTGTGCCGTTATTTTCGATGGAAGCTTCATCACACGCTACAGCAGGTGATATTCCAAATACCAAACAAGCATTCCTTCCACAAGAAACACTTGATGATCCATTTGACGTTACTCTGGTGATTCAAAATGGGAAAGAATTCAAAGCTCATAGACGTGTTCTTTCAGAAGCAAGTCCTTTCTTTGAAAGGCTGCTTAAAAGTGACATGAAAGAGTCCATCGAAGGAGTAATCCATTTAGAAAAGATAAACGAGCAGTGTTTGAACGATATATTGGAGTTTATCTACACAAACCATGTTCAAATATCGGTAGCAGAAGAAAAATATGCCCGAGACTTGATCGCCATGTCAGACTACTTGGTTTTACCACGTCTGAAGGCTGTTGCTGGAAAACATTTAGTGAAGGACTTAAAAATATCAAATTCTGTTTCATTTTATCAGTTTGGCGTGAAATATCAATGTGACGAGCTCATTTTCGAGACCAGAAACTTCATTCATGCCAATTTCATGCACGTGGCCCAAACGGAGGAGTTTTTGAACTTGCCGTGCGATGAAATCAAAATGTGGATTTCAAATGACGACATAGCTGTAACTGCTGAAGAAGATGTATTCAAGATCATTTTTAAATGGGTGGATCGTAATAAAGTGGACCGGAAGCAATATTTCCCCATATTGTTCTGTGAAGTTCGACTTGTATATATATCACGTGACTTTTTGTGCCGTGACATCATGACAAGTGAGTTTTTGATTGGTGATGAACACAGCATGGGGCTTGTGAAGGATGCTTTGAAGATCATCGAATCAAAAGACTTTCAGCAGCACGGTATTCGTCCTAGAAAGTCACTAGAGATGCCTGTCATGGTGATATGTGTACAAGGTTTCAGTAGACAGGAAGACAACATGCTTTGTTGTTATAATCCACTTGAAGACACATGGTCTAAGTTTAATGGGACAGTCCCACCCAATATTGCAGATGTTATATCCTGTCATGGAAAACTTTATTTTCACTTATATCCTGATGAGGACATAGGAATCAGAGAGAGGAGACTGTTGTGTTATGATCCATTATCAAATTGTTGGGCTTCATTGCCATATGAGGATTACAGGACAGTGTACAACATATTTGCAAGAGGTGGTGAAGCAATTTATGCCTTTGTAGCTGAAGATCTTCTATGTTGCCCTGACTGTACATCCTGGTACCAAAGCCAAATTCCTGGACCATGTAGTAAGACCCCACATCTTTCTTTCTTGAGAAAGTACAAACCAGAAACCAATTCCTGGGAAGACATAACATCATTTGATTTCGACTGCAATTCAAGATCTGGAGTTTGTGTTGTGGCCAAGGATAATTTTGTGTATTTCATTGGTGGTGGTTATTGCAGCCCAGATCGAAATGAGGAACTTGCAAGTGCCGATAGGTATGATGTCATTAAAGACACGTGGGAGAAACTAGCAAACCTTCAGTATCCAAGATGGTATGCTCGTGCCACTGCTACACACAGAAACATTTTTGTGGTTGGTGGAGTAACTCATGATTTAGCCGAGAGTTGTGAAGTGTATAATGAAGAAACAAATGAATGGCATTTTGTAGCAAGGCTGAGGAAGACACCATTTGATCATTACGATCCAACTTTGCTGGGTGTTGATAATAAGCTGTATTGTATAATCCGACTTATTTGTGCATGGAATCGAAAAGACAAAATTGATTGCTATGACTTTGAGAAAAATGAATGGAAAGAGAAAACTCAAATACCATTTGACAAACTGTTACCGAGGGGGTTGAAAAATGAATCTTACTTACAGGTTACTTCATGCTGTTCAATGAGAATTTTCAAAAGACGCAACTTTCTTCAACATGCCTCATTTCATGACATTAAAGCTGGGAAAAATAAATGTGCTATCATGTGACCTAACAGCATGAATACTATCAGTGTTTTGTCAGGATCTAAAATTGTAGTTTGGTGTTTTTCAACAATTTGTCATTTGTAATGATATGCACTTAAAGCCCTCAAAACAGTGACGTTCTGGTTCTTAGAAGATGCCATTTTTTTTTAACCCTGGATTAATCACAGTGAAAATAATATTAATTATTTTCCATTCCTCATTGAAACAGTACAATTTTGTAAATATATAATTTCTTTAAAAAAAATGTGTTTTGAGTGCATATTAAATTTTCTGTAACAGTGTGTTAAAATTGTTTTTCTGAACTATTTAATGTTTATAAACCATGGAAATCAGGACATGTACTTGTAAGAACTAGTGGTGCAGTTACATACAGTTGTGTATGGAGATAGCTGGGCATTGTTGAGCTGTGCAGCAAGGCTGTGAAATTCCCTTGTGGCCACCATTAAAAGCACGCAAGCCTTAAAAGCTTCAACTAGAATCTGAATACCTGTCTTTTACAGTCATTATTTTTTTCTCATATTTTCATGGCCGTGTTTTATTGTTACTCGATTACTATAGTATTTAATTTTTTTGCATTTAATGAAAGGAGAATGGATGCTTTTCAAGTTGTTGTTTTTCTCCTGAATTTACACTTTCCCCAAGGTGTTGATCTGGATTCCATATAAGCTTAGATCTCATGAGAATTTTTTACAGCTGTGAACTGTGCCCTGTTTGTTTGCTGCATCGAAAACATTGGCAAGTTTGTGTTTACTAGCCTGTGTACAGACGTCCCCCTTCCCTCAGAAAAAAATCTCTTCTCCCAATTTTTTCTGAGGGAGGGGGGACGTCTGTACACAGGCTAGTGTTTAGTGGAGAAGTTCGATTATGTTTTTTTTTTTTTTCTGTTTTTTGTTGTTGTTGTAGTTCACCATAATTTTAGTTTCTTTTATAGGAAAATCTCCATTCTATGATATTATGTAACAGTTACTTGATAATGACGTCCGAGAAATTTCCTAAAATGTTTTTAAGAAAAGTTTTTTCGCAATTTTTTATAGCTAAAAATCAAATCACATTATTTTTAAAAAGCTATTTACAGCATTCAAATTGTAATGTCTTTGGTTCCTCATCATTTTTTAATGAAGTTGAATCATGGAGAAATGTTACCTTGTCATGTCAGAAATTCCAACTCTGTGTTAAAAAAGTATTTTTGTAAACAGGTCAGATCAATATAAACTGGGATAGTACTTGAGTTGTGCTAAGACAGCTGGTGATTGTGAGTATACTTCCATGAAAATAGCGCCAGTACCAGTCAGCGGTACTAGGACTGTTTTTTATGTAAAAATTAATAACTGATTTTACGTGTGGACGTACATTTTATATTTTATTGATTATTCGATTATTTTATTGACTATTAGATCGGTAATTGTAGTTAGGTGTCCCCAGTTAGTGTACATGGTATGCGACCTCGACACTAAAATAAAGTTCTGACTTACTTACTTGTGCTCGCTCTCCGTTTTTCTTAGGGTGTTTGCCAAACTAATGATATCCTAGGGGTTTTTCGTCCTTTGCAAGTTCAGAGTTTCTAACCCTCAGCAACAACAGTATGCCCACCAAATTGAGCAAGGATCCCAACCCCGGGTAGACCTGGGTCAGACGGCCGTTCTTTGCATTAACCGAGCCTAATGAATACTAATGACTGGAACAAAAGACCATACTTTTTCCCCTGGCAAAATCTACTGTTCTCATTGGTGTTAGGTTCGGCCAACATGAAGTACGGCGTTTGACCTGTGCCTTAGTGTATGTATCTCCAAACCCTTTGGTGGTGTTAAATCACCTGTTAAATTGCACTAATTACATTGCTGGGCCCAGTTGCTCGAAGCATGGTTAGCGTTAACCAGCGTTAAATACCTTGACAACGTATTGGTTTTGATACTGCTTAACCAATGGTTAAAGCTAACCATGCTTTGAGCAACTCAGCCCAGGGCGCTATTTACCAGTAACAATATCAGTAGGCAGAAAACTCACTCACCTCACCTATCCGCTTCGTGCCTCGTGGAACAAAAGGCCTTCAAAGAATCCCTCTATTTATCTCGGTTAGCGGCAACGGTCTTCACTTCCTCCCACGATTGCCATCCTGCTTCTGCTCTTTCCTTTTCAAGCGTTTATCTGCAGGTGGTTTTTGAAGCGAGAAATAAATAACAACGGGAGACTAATTTCGTTGGAAGAAGAACATGAAAATTACTGATAGCGGCGGTTAGAAAATGAGAAATGCTAGCGCCTACCAATGTGAAAATGAGGGGCAGTAAAAAAAAAACAGAGTGAACAGGAACACAAACATTTCCTCCATAAAACGCGTAAATAGGAAGGTAAAAGAAGTTTGACGTTTTGGTTGTGCAAAACAACGGCAAGGAAATGTACAAAAAAGTGTGCTGCACGTGCAAAGTTTTTTTTTTTTTTGCTAATTAGAAAAAAAAAGTGTGCTGCACGTGCAAATTTTTTTTTTCTAATTAGATCTATTTTTGTTGTTTTTTACCGTTCTCGTTGCTTTCAACTTCTTTTAAGTATTACTCGATTTTATATTTTCTTTGTGGAATCTATAGATATTAAAAGGAGCTTCGCTTTTAGCCCTGCCTAATTCTATATATCACCTAATTCTATACATTAAGGGTACTGCAAGAGAGACCGTTTCAGATTTAGGATTTCCAGAGGTTTTCATCTTTCTGAACTTCATTAACCCTTTAAGTCCCAATGGTGTCCAACATCAATTTCCTCCCAGCAATATCCATACATTGTCAAGAGATAAGGTTGTGAAAATTAATAAAATGATCACCTTAGAGAAAATGCCTTGATCTTTTCTCAAATTCTCGCAACACATTCTTTAATAAAATGTATAGAGATCAGTTTGGAGAATTTGTATGTGTATATTGGGGCTTAAAGGGTGAAAGCATTCCTTAGGGGCATTTATACATTTGTACGAGGAAAAATAAGACGCGTCTTACATAAAACACGTTAAATAAGACGGGAACTGGACCATTTATACGAGCATGTCTTATCTAAGTCTTCCGTATACTTAAACTTACTTTTAAAGTGTAAGTTTATAATACTAAGATAACAATTTGATTAGCAAATATAAATTGTGATAGTTTAAAGTTAAAAGGGTCTACTTACACCAGCAGATGTCACGCATTTGTCCAGGAGGTCTGTTATCGCCTTCTCCTTACATAATAACAAAAAATCTTTTTCCTTCGCGATAGACCAAGTGTTTCTTTTTACCTTTAACGGCGTGCTCATTGTATTTGAGCGAAGAAAAAATAAAGCAGAATAGACAAGGAAACGAAATTTTTCCCCGCCAGTGGCCTGCCAATCCACCGCGGGGCACTCCGCGGGGCAAGCGATAATTTTCCCGCCAAAAATAAACACATGCGTACTATGCGTTCGCGTGTTTCAGGGCGGAAAAACGTAATGAGCATGCGTGAACTTTTTTGCCCAGATCCCCTGGCCGGGTTTGAAAAAATGGCGGGATTTCAAATATTTTCTTGCCTAAAAATAAAATGTTTCCACTCATAACCTGGAAAGAACAGGAAATTTGTCTTCAAAAGTTGCAAGCTGTGGTTATAACATTGTCGTTACTTAATTTTCTCGAAGAATACCTCATAGTAAAACGGACTTTAACGACATTAATTTCCTTGCGTTGTAATGGAAATGTGCATGCGTAGGTCCGATTTTTTTCAAGATGCATTCACAAAATGTGTTCATATAAGGAAGTTTCTGGATATATAAGGTCCGTAGCTCCACTGTGGACACAAAAACAACATATCTTTGGACAGTGATTTGCCCAAAAAAATTAACGCTTGCCCACAATGTGTTTGAAGTCACTGAACTTTGTCGCACTCGAGCGAGGAAAGTAAAGAGTAAAGAACGAGTAAAGAACGGGGAGAAGAGCCCCTGGGGACAATGTCTTACCAGACCTGTAACAACGGTCGCCGCCGTTCTGGCTTCTGATTGGTGCCAGAAAAACACAAGTTTTCTGGCACCAATCAGAAGCCAGAACGGCGGCGACCGTTTGGAACTGGTCTGGTAAGACATTGTCCCCAGGGGCTCTTCTCGCCGTTCTTTACTTTTCTTCGTGCCATATTTTTCCACCCGTTTAGATTTTCCCTCGCCCCCTTTATCTGCCCCTGGGTCTCCGAGGATGGCGATGTATAAGAGCTATATAAATTCCATTATTATTATTATTATTATTATTATTAGGTCTGACAATGTGGATGGATAGGTGCCATCTTTCCCTTAGTGAGATAGAAGGTAAAGTCAAACAGCCTTTGATTAATGTTAAGAAAGATGAATAAAGTTTACTTATTATTGTCTTAGTGTAGCCATTTGTGTTTTTGATTGCTTTGAACCTGGCATCCAAGGTGCGGATCCACACCTGTTTCCACCGTTTTACGGAAATCGGTCAGATTTTTCATAATAAATATAATTTTAAAAGTTGATTGAATTTGATCATCTGGGTGTATTTTTAATTGTAAAAAATCTTTCCAAGTTGAAATCTTGCTCCACATCCAACAAACAACATGGAAATTAAACATGATGAAATAATCCACCAATTTGCAAGGCTTCACCTGAGGAAAATGGAACTGGCCAATATCCTGTCTGAATCAATCAGAAACCCAGGAAAGGGGTCTTTAGGGCTTGCCTGCCCATTTTAGAGGTGTGGACTGAAAATGGGTGTGGAAAGTGACATTTTTTAGTCTGAAACAGGGTGAGGATTTGGAGAACCAGGCAGCACACCTCACCAAGAACTCCCAGGTGTACCCCCGGGCCCTTTTCCTTTATACATAGGCTGGGGAGTTCCCTGCAACAAGGACGCGCCCTATTTTCAAGGCATTTCTTTACCACTTTAGCCCTATTCACTGTCCAACTAACAGGCGATTTCAAGCCACTTACACAGTGTTTCATGCACTTGAAAGCGGGTAACCAAACCCAAGGAGCAACTCATACCAGAACGTTTAAGCGTAATTGACACGTTTGTGCTGTATTGGGCATTCAGTCACTTTCAATTCAAATCCGTTCGATCCAAGTTTTGTTTCTACTGTTTTCTAATACCAGGTTGAAACCGTTGGAAAATATATGCCAAGAACGCGGGAGAAAGCCAACAAGGTTAAAAGCTTACCTGCGGCTTTCCATCTCCGCAAGAAAATCATTGCTTTTGAATAAAGAATTCATTTAGGAAATCAAATCAGTCGTGCTGGATATACCCTTTCAAACAGAATCAAACGAAATTATATACTCTGTGTAAGACAGACTCACAAAGAGGTCGAAAATCATACCCTGTCCAGCGGCAAATCCCCATATAGAGCATATATGAGGGAGTACCCCTTCCGGGCTTAATACGGACACCCCGTTAATATGGACACTTTCTCTGGCCCCTTCATAGCCTGTTCCAGGGGGTTTTTCCGTTTAGTTTCCGGGGGTGAAATGCCTGCGAGATCAAGCTCTCCTATTTGGGCTCGCTCGCGCGTTCTCGCGAGGCTCGCGCGAGGGCACGTTTTTCCCGTTTTGCGGAGTTTCACGTTGGGTGGAAATGAAAATTTCGGTGGTAGCAAGATCGAATTTGATTGGCTCTTGTTCCATTTCGGCCCCCGGTACGTGGCCGGGTGCCCGACCGTGGACCTGGAACTGGTACCCAAACTACGAGAAACGTAAATGGAACACGACATTCCGTTCTTTCCAGTGGGACGAACCGACGAAACGTGTTCCATTTATCGCTGAACCGGAAATTCCGGAAATTTTGACTAAATGGAAAGCGCCCGTTATTTCTTGGTGGGGTTACAAATGATGCCGAGTGGCTCTGGGAACGAGACCAGTTTTTCTCGTCCCCAGAGCCTGTCGTTTCGATTGGTAAAAAGTTGTTCCATTTCATTTGTCGCAAAATTCTTGGTGGGGTTACAAGAAAAATGGAAGCGGAAAACGGGACCACCTTTTTAGATTTTCCAGTGGAATTTTCCAGTGGGGGAACGACGAAAGAATTTACCGCCGAACCGAAATTCAGGAAATTTTGACTAAATGGAAAGCGCCCCTCGTCTTAGCTAAGACGAGACGCGCGTTTCTGGGAAAAGGGGAAAAAGAACAGGTGTTAGGCTATAGCTAAGACGAGACGCGTCTTTCTAAAAATAAGAAGTGCCTTAGCTAAGTCGTGTCTTATTTTAGACGAAATTAAATGTGCCGTTTATACGGAAAGTTCGCGTCTTATGTAAGACGCGTCTTATTTTTCCACACGAAAAAAGAGTTTAATGTTCAAACTCCCCCGCGGAGTTTAGGTCCAACTAAAAGAAGCATGGCCGCCTTGGGGGTGACTCTATTCGGCGGAATGGCGGAGTACACGGAATACTCTAACGTTCTTTGAGTTAGTATGAGGTTTGAGTCAGTATACATGTATATCCTTTTTTTATTCTGGGTTTTAAAATATTCCATATATTCCGTGTTTTGTTTGAGAATATTTTGTGTATTCTTTGTCTCTGCTTTTATGTCAGTCCAGTTCAAATCAAGTACAGAATGTTCTGTAAATTCCGTGTTTTAGTACTTCCATATATTCCGTATTTTAGAATATTCCGTGTATTCCGTCATTCCGTTCCGTCATTCCGTCAGTCCACCATTCCTCCAAATAGGGTCACCCCAACGAGAGGTTCTCTAGTATCTTCATTTATCCACTTTAAATAACAATGATTTAACTGATTATAAAGGATATATGGGCTCTCGAAATAAGCAAGTGTACTTCCTGATCATGTATTATCATTTTTCAACCCTGCGTTAAAGGGGACTTTCTCTTACCGAGTTCCTCCCGGTCAAGTCAGACGCCTTGGACAAGTCAAGTGGTCCACGAGAAACACTTCAGTATATTACCGGTATTTTCTTCAATATTTCGATGGAAACTTCATTACAAGCCACAGCAGGTGATATTCCAAACACCAAACAGGTTTTTCTTCCACAAGAAACGCTTGATCATCCATTTGACGTGACTCTTGTTATTAAAAATGGGAAAGAATTCAAAGCTCACAGACGTGTTCTTTCAGAAGCAAGCCCTTTCTTCGAAAGGCTTCTTAAAAGTGACATGAAAGAGGCTATCGAAGGAATAATCCACCTTGAAATGATACACGAGGAGTGTTTGAGCGATATATTGGAGTTTATCTACACAGGCCGTGTTCAAATACCAGGGGGAGAAAATTGTACCCGAGACTTGATCGCCATGGCAGACTACTTGGTTCTTCCACACCTGAAAACCATCGCTGAGAAAGTTTTGGTGGACAAGCTTAACGTTTCTAACTCTGTTTCAGCTTATTATTTTGCTGACAGTTATCAATGCGAAGACCTTTTTTCCATCTCCATGAGTTTAATATTTACAAATTTCAGCAGTGTAGCCAAAACGAAAGACTTTTTGAGTCTGTCATGCAAAGAAGTCAAAAGGTGGATTTCCAGTGATGAAATATATGTAGATTCCGAGGAAGATGTGTTCAACATTATTCTAGCATGGATTGATCACGATAATGAAGAGAGAAAGAAATATTTTGCAGATCTGTTTTGTGAAGTTCGACTTGTTTATTTATCGCTTGACTTCCTGTGTAGTGGTCTGTTGGCAAATGACCTCGTGAATAACAGTGAACAATGTTTGCATCTTGTGATGAATGCAGTGAAGTTAAGTGTCTCTCAGAACCATTACGATCGCAATGTAAGGCCCAGAAAGTCACTTGAGATCTCTGCATTACTAATCTGTGTGCGAGATGATAGACAGCAAGACCAACTTCTATGTTACTCTCCCACTGAGGATGAGTGGTCTTGTTTCCCTAGCACAGTGCCAAGCATAAATAATGGTGAAGTCATCTCATGTGATGATAAACTTTATTTTATATCTCAAAGTGATGGCAAACTTTTGTGCTATGATTCTTTCTACAACTGCTGGACATCATTGCCGTTTATAGAGCGAAGAAGATTGCATCAATTCTTTGTTAGAAATGACAAAGAATTGTGTGCTTTGGTCTCTGAAGATCAAGACACATGTTCAGAATGTCTGTCACTGAGTGCCAGCAGGAGAAACCCATCTTGCGGAAAAAAGCATAATACGTTTATTATGAAGTACAAACCTGAATCAAACACATGGGAAGATATGACTGTACTTGATCTGGGCTCACGAGTAGGAATTTGCATTGTTGCTCAAGACAATTTCATATACTTTCTTGGTGGGTATGCCGAGAACCGATATGAGACACTGAAAGATGCAGACAGGTACAACCTCAGCACAAACACATGGGAAAAAATAGCTGACATCCTAGAACCAAGACAGAGTGCATGTGGAGCAGCTGCATGTGGTAGAATTTTCATTGCTGGTGGAGTAAACAGAAATAATATTTCAGAAAGTTGTGAAGTGTACAATGAAACAACAAATGAATGGCACTTCATTGCCAGTTTAAACACAAAAACACCATGGGACACCGGAAGTCCCACTTTGTTATGTGTTGATAACAAAATGTATTTATTATTTCGTTACATTTTTGGCTGGAACGAACAAGGGAAAATGGGCTGCTTGTATGAGCTTGACAGGGATGAATGCCGCACCAAAACCCAAATTCCAAATGAGAAGATGCTGCATTTAGTGAGGAAGCTCAATGACAATAACCGATACTTCATTACATTTTCTTGTTCATTGAAAGTTTTTAAAGAAAGCAATTTCCTTAAACAAACCTTGCTCTCTAACCAAGTCGATAAAACCAAGTGTGCCGTTATGTGACTAAGCACCAAGTTTGGGGGCATGACTAACCAATGATATTATTAGATTTGCATATTTCTTAAAATGCCATTTTAAACTGTTTGCTTCTGTCAATGATTCTGAAAAACGAACTACAGGGGTGGTGTGTCAGCCTTAGGCGGAATATGGACACATTGTAGTTCTGTGACTTATAATAACAAATAATGATAGTATTATTTATGATGAAAATTTTGAGCATTCATATCAAATTATTGAATATGAACGATGTTATCGAGCCCTCATCCAGTCAGTGGGTATGATACCTATCCCCAGTTGTGTTGGTTCTCAAGAAGGGCAGATCCACCTATTCCTGCTGTCCCTCTCACTGTGTAGATTACCAATGGCACAATGTTACAATAGTGAAAGATTTCCATCCATCCGCTTTCCTGAACAGATGACTCCATTGATACTTTGTCTACTTCTTGCTGGTTCAGCACCTTGAACCTTGCCAGTGGATCAAGGATGGTAGGCTGGGAGTGGCCTGTATCAGTTTACTGTCATGCCTTTTGGACTGTGCATTGCTGTGCATCCATACTTTCAGGCAAGAACCTCATGGAACGTGTGCTGGCTGGACTTCCATAAGAAGTGTGTTCCCTTTATCTTGATGACATCACTAGAAATACACTGACCCTTGAAACTGAATTAGAGCAGCTAGAAATAGCGTTTGCTGACCAAGAATGGCAGGAACTAAACTTAATCCTAAAAAGTGCCATCTCCTCAAAAAGCGAGCTTCCTTCTCTGTGTGACGTGGTCTGTAACGAGGGTTTGTCCTCTCACCCTGTTGATTTATAAGCAGTTCGTGATTGGTACCCTCTGAATATCTGCCTCCCATCTTCAAAGTTTCCTGGGTCGCTGCTGCTGCTAACCTCGGTTCACTTGTGGTTTTTCGAGCATCATGCCTTCCCTGGATGGACTGAAGTGGCTGCAGGGGAGCGGCTTTACATGCTGACATCCGATCTCACCTTTCTGGTTCCTCTGCAATTCAGCCATTGGTTGCAAGTGAGGAAAGTTGGTACCATTAATTTTTTAATCATTATTTTATACTTTTTTGTACCATAATTGTGAGAGAGAACACGGCATGCAAGAATGCGACAGTGCTTTTTAACAGGCTTAAGCAAGTCTCATCCCAGGCAGCTGTGCTGGCCGACCTAACTTCAAAAATGCTCTTTTCCTGGACAAAGATGCTAATGTCATTGATGTTGGTGAGGGAGTTTGACGAAGTCTGAACGGCGGTGATGCGGCTGTGCGACACTTTCACCGCTATCTCTACGGATGACACCTCAAAGTCAGAACTGACCATGGGACATTCAAGTGGCCAATGAATTGTAGAAATAGCGAGGATTATACTGTAAGTTGTTCGAGTCACGTTGGATATATGTTCTTGAAGTCGATTCTAGCTGAGGACGGAATCATAGTCATCCAGACGGACTCCGCTATGTTAAATGGCAAACTGTGTAAACGAAATGAATTAAATGAAGAACGCTAAGGTTTGTTCAGGAAGGACAAAGAGCTGTGCTTTGTCAGACGTGAGAGTCGGAAACTGAAAGGGATGAGATCCTCTGTAAGCTCGTTGTTTGTGAGAGTCAAAGGAGGGAGTCAAGAGTCAAGTCTTGAGACCATTGAATGGCAGCCTGACGGCCGCGCAATCTTTGGACGAAGAGGTCATTTGAGCGAGTGAGTGAAGGCACGTTTTTTTTAATGTACAATGTTGAAACGTCACGACCAGTAATAAAGAAACTAAATCAGAACCAAGAAGCTAAAACGGTTGCAGACATCGCCGTGCATCTACCTCTCTTCTGTTCAAGAGAACTGCAAACTAGATCACCTAGAATTTTCGGGAACCTTTTATCTGGCTGAAATTTTCGAAAATATAAGTTTTGATCCCTATAATTTTCGGATCACTAGACTTTGAGCTAGGAAATGCGAACAGATGAAAAATTTTTAGAGGATAAAAATATGCCTACATCTACCTTTTAAATACTAAAATACGTTTAACAATGCTATGTGGTTTTGAAGAACTATTTTCTCGCTGGGTGCCCCTGGAATTAGTATAATTCTAGTCCTAGTTTGAAGTCATGCAGTGAAAAGTGATGCGAAAAATGAGAGGCTGCCCCCATTGTCATTCATTTCTCTCTTTTCTTTTCCTTCTTTTTTTTTTCACCACCGCCCCCTTCCCCAGATCGCTAGTCTGCGTGCAAGCCCAAGAAAGAACGGGCGTGCGAGAGGGAGACACGCACGCTCGTCCTTTCTTGCGCTCATTACTTCCAGTAAATGGCCAAGCGCCTGCTACGAAGGCTACCAGATCGAACGCTGTCTTATTTTTGCTTGTTGTTTCCGCGCCCTCCACTACTCCGATTTTTCCTGGGGGGAGGGGGCAGCTGTACGCAGGCTAGTTTTATTTTTCCGACGTCCTAAGTAACTGAGAACAGGCTAGAAGCAAGCCTGTACATATTTTCTCGTTTTTTGCAAAAAGCGGATGTGCTTCAAATGAGGGCCCTTCTCCACTCAAAACACTAATTCGAGGATTTGCAGGGTATTTTGTTGAGTTTTGATTTATTTTTTATTTAACAATTATTCCTCGAGCCCAGATGGGCTCTGAGGCAATAGCCCATGAGGCCAAAGGCCGAATGGGCTATTAACTGAGAGGCCATGAGGGCAAGAGGAATAATTGTTTTAGTAAAATCCAACTAGCTGGTCAAAAATATCGAGACAAAACAACTTTAGCTAGCACTGAACGCCATTCAGCCGCCACTGTTTTGGTTTTCAAAGCTAGCGCTTTTCTCCACTAGTGCGCTATAACATATAGCCTAGCAGTTGCTCAACCAATCAGAACGCAGCATTGACAATAGACCTCTTGTTGGATTTTACTAAGGGACCAGTCGTAATTTAAGTTGGAGTTGGAGCGGGGGGGTGGGGTGGAGGAGAAATTGGGGGGCCTTCAATTTTTTTTGGATGGAATATGGGGGGCCTTAAAATGCCAAAAGATGACCTTGGGGGGGGGTCTTCTAGTTTCTTTTAAGTAGCATCCCTACTGAGCAGCATGATGCTTGGGTATTAAGGGACCTGATTTTGATTCAGTTTTACACAAAGTCCTATATTGTATAATACTAAAACAATTTAATCAGCATTTTGACAAAAAGATCTTATGCTCAAATAGTAGGTGCATCAACACAACATCCATTATTGTGTAACACTGAAACAATTTCATCGGCATTTAAACAAATGATTACATGCATAAAGTCATGTTATGCAATCTCACTATCCGAATCATTATTTGTAGATGAGGTTGATGTGGACTCACTGTCTGTGTCACTGTCAAGTTTTTTGCTATTAGAGCATATACTGCTCATATAAAAAGCAGTAAGCTTTGGCTGATTATCTTCTTTCTTCCTTGAAGCGGTCCTGTCGGCCTCTAACCTTTCGATGGCTTGTCTTATCTCAATTATAACACAATCACTGATATATCCTTGCTCTATAAGCTGTTTGAGAGGCTCTAGGTGAAATCTCTCTCTCAGTTTAGTGTGAAGTGCTTCTCTGTTGTTAGTTGGCACATTCGGAAGTGACAGTGAGTAAGAACGGTAAAGTAAAGAAAATGTTATTTGTTATCACCATTTGGGTATTATGTAAGAAAGGGGGACCCTTAAATCTTTTAACATGATTGAAGAGGGGGGTACCTAAAAAACATGGGTGCTTTTAGTAGGGGTCTGGAAATAATTTGGGATAAAAAACAATTTCTCCTCCACCCCCTCCTCCAACTTAAATTATGACTGGTCCATAAAAGCTAATATAATACGAATCAATCTACGTTCTGATTGGTTGAGCTACTATTAGGCTATACGTTATAGCGCACTAGTAGAGAAAAGCGCTGGCTTTGAAAACCAAAACAGGGGCAGCTGAATCGCGTTCAGTGCTAGCTAAAGTTGTTTTGTCTCGATATTTTTGACCAGCTAGTTGGATTTTACTAAAACAATTATTCCTCTCGCCCTCATGGCCTCTGTATTAATAACCCATTTGGCCTTCGGCCTCATGGGCTATTGACTCAGAGCCCATTCGGGCTCGAGGAATAATTGTTAATTATTCCATGTCAATGTACTTGAGGATTTGCGATTGGCCAGAGCTAAAGTAATTATCCAAAGTAATCACTGTTTAGTTGCATAAAAAAGCCAGTAAACAGTAAAAGCAAATACATGTACATCACTGAAGTTTCTTTACCCAGTTTTGCAAACGGTGTTCCAAAAATATTACAAAGGAAAGAAAAATTCATTTTTTTTGGTAAAATCTATCTACGCAGACTTTGGCCTCGATTCCAAGGGACAGAAAAAAAACTCTTTTATATTCTTGAAATTGAAGAGGTGACATGGTAAAAAGATTGGAGATTTACTTGAAAACTAGAGAAAAATGAACTGTACTACTGTTTGTTGAGTTACTGTTGTTGTAGTCAATTTATCGGTTTACAAAAAAAATTGCGGCGATGCCACGCACCAATACAGGATTATCGAAAGCCAAACGACTTTCGCGCCGAACTGAAATTTGCATTTTCCTCAATATTGTCCGAGCAATTAAAATGCTCTTGAGATAGTTTAAGTTACACTCAAAAACGGCGAGGCATCTGGCCGCAGGCGCAAAGCCTTGTCATTGTTTTGTTGGTGTTTGTTTGCCAAATTCAAAATAGCCGCTAGCCAATCAAAATGTACTGGTAGACAATACTACATGATTGACAGATTCAAGATAATGGGGTTCAAAACTGAAGCCCTACACGAGAGTTCATGCGGTCGAGAAAAGGATGCCTCTAAAACTCGGAAGAGTTTTGCGATGCTGGAGGTTATGTGAATTAAACCGGTAGCATAAGTGTGCAAAGACCGTGTTTTGGTATGGCGGGATGTGATATTAGATCTGTGGGACCTTATGTACTAGAAGGAACTTTGGGTAGAGGACAGACTGGTATGGAACAACATTCGTAAAGTTTCGATCCTTCAATTTTCCAAGCACAGTTTTAATAGCCTTCTCTGTTCTACAGGACTGGTTAAACTTGGAATCAATTGTGTGACGAAAAAGAAGGTTGCAGTTAAAATAATTGACAGAACGAAGCTTAGCGAGCAAGTTTTAAGCAAGGTAATTTTTGCCTATTAGTCCTTTCGTTAGTAAAACTTTGCAATAAAATATCAAAGATTCTCGAAAAGTCGAACATGTAAACATGCAATTTGCATGTGATTTAGCGATGAAAATAACCAACGGCCTGTCAGTGCAGCATTTACATTTTAATTTAAAAATTTTATCCTTCAACGGCTTCACGTTTTATAGACAGGCAATATCTGTGAATCGACAATGAGAAACAGATTTTCACATCCTAGCTGCAGTGCTCCGAAATTCTCTTCAATATGCATGTACATGTTTTGCTTATAAACATTTCATTTTTGGCCCAATTTTTTTGTTATAGCTTCCTTGTTTGAAATATTTATGAGTATCTGGCTTACTTTGTTTCCCTTGGATATTGCACGGATTTTCATTCGCTTTGCGTTTATTGAGGTTAAGAGGCGAAAAATCAAGGATGTATTTAAAGCTCGTTGGTAGCTAGTCTTCCGTGACAAAAATTTACGTTTTGAATCGTTGTTCCGCCAAGTACATGACAGATGACGGTAATTTTGACGTAAAGTAAAAATTCAAAACAAATATTCGCCTTTTTATTTCCAAAACAAAGAGAATTTTCAGCTGTTTTACTAAGTATGCAAGATTACTATCCATTTCGCTTGAAATACTGTACATTTCACATAGCCTCCGATAGATTTTGTCTTTTTTTGCTGAAGCCTACCAAATGTCCAAATTGGTTTGGAATAGGTCTTTCCAGTTGTAATAATAATACAAAGAGAAATTTTCCAGAAATTGCTTCCGTTAATTTTCACGTCCAATTTTGTTAGTTTTTGCCCATTAACTAATATTTTTTCAACAAACCTGTTCACATTGGGGTTCTACGACAGCCTGTACTTTGTACATTTTAATGAAGATTTCATCAATTTCAGCTATCGATAGTTTGGCCGTTGACAACTAGTCCGACCAAAAGGTTCTTGCAATTGCGTCGTTCATAAGAATACAAATAGTTTTCTTACAATTATTTTTTCTTTAAAATTCATAATTTCAACTTTTTCACTCATGCACAAAGATTCGTTTATGTCACCTTATTATTAATTCGCTAAAAATTTGTATTAGTGGTATGGAAACCGATTCAGAATGTAGTTGATATTGAAATGGGACATGTATGTTATTGCAATGCTTCAAATAACAGCTGCGTCACACAACATCACCGTGCTGCGTGTAGCTGCAAATTTTATCATTTTCCTTAGACATCGTTGTTTCGTCAGGCCTTTTTATTTAGTTCACCTGGATATAAGCAACTTTACACCACTCTTGTGTCAGACGTGTTTCTCCTTCCTGACCCTGGGTCCTAAACAGTATTTAAAAGACTTAAAAATAATGCTCAAGGTGGTTTTTAATCCCATCTGAAATTCTCTTATCATAAGAAAATATGGGGTAATTTGTAAGGAGAATTGAGCAGCTTATCAGAAGACACTTTGGGCATTTTTTAAAGTAGTACTCTCTAGTTTATATCTACATGAGGAAGTTGTGAATTAGGTTTAACACTCAGTCCCGTACGTTAAAAAGCAATCATAATCGGGAGTAATCAATTTGCTACTCTGTAACTTTTCATTTTTTTAAAAAAATATGATGTGAAAAGACAGATAATTTTTGTCTTGCCAAACAGAACAGCAGGTAGTACTTAAAGAGTACTTCAAGAGTTTTTATCAGTTTGAACTCCAAGGGGATGAGTGTCTTCTGTGCAACAGTTAAGGTCCTTGCTTCGAATTTCTCATTCCAAATAGTAGCCTGTGCTTTGGGGGTTTCCACTGCACATTTTATATGGTTTTATTTTATACATGGTTTATTTTGCATAATTTTCCTTTCTTCAATACTCATTTTGTACTTCTACATAACTATGCATAAAAACAACAGAACATTTAAAAATGAACCAAGAATATTATTATGTGCTAGTTTTTTAAAACAGACCAGAAAAAAAAATGATGTGATGTAATAGTTTTATTTCTTTATTAATATTAAATACATTTTACAGTGAATCTGCAAGTAAAGAGAAGAAAAACCATGACTTAAAAACCATAGGTGAAAATTAATGCTTTAATTGCTGAACCTTAAGCGCATAACAGTGCTGTTACAATGAGAATTGCCATGACAACGAGAACCAATATGAATATTTATTGGAATCCTTTAAGTCAAAATTTTAGCTTCTTCTTTAAAGTGTAGTTTTCATGTCTCTCCCTTGATAAAAACAATACTTACTGGAAGAAAAAATACAGTTTTTATCCAAGATTTGAGTTTTTTGAAATTGCATGACTTTCTTGCTAGATTCAGAAGTAAATAAGGAAACCACTTATTTTTAATTTCCTACAAAATAATGAAAACATTTTGTCCTTTAATGTAGGTCAAATGACAGAATGGAATTCACCTGTATTTACTTTTAGAGTGTCTGAGTTGGAAAAAGATAAATAAAGGCTGAAATGTCATTCAGTGATCAGTAAGATCATAAGGAAGTAAAAGCAGAGTATAGCATATTGTTTTACATGTTTTTCATATTTAAACGCTGATAATTTGCATTAAATTAAGTGTCAGGTTTTGATTGCCCAGTGACATACTAGGTTAAAAAGGTTTTGATTAATTTAAAGGGTTTCACATGTTTTTAGCGTTTTTTATGTAAACCAAAAACAGATATGCTGTGAGCTCAATTTTTTTTTTTCGCAATAAATTTAACTACAAAAAAATCGCCCTCTCAAATAAAAAGATATTTTCTTAAGCTGAAGAACTTTTCCTTGAAGATATTTTGTTTTAAGGTGCATGACTGTGTTCAAATATGTCCATAGTTGTACATGGGTCAAAACCTAGTTCTCAAAAAAAATCCAAAGTAAGCCAATTCATCTTCCCTTTAATGGACTTCTATTTTATAACATAACAATTTGATGGGTTTTTGATGAAGTTCTTTCTCAGATCAGTGGATCGACTCACAGACTGTTTTTTCATTCTGATGAAGGCTTGAAAGAGACTGTAATCCTCTGGTGAATTTAACTGTTGACAGTGACAGTCATAGTCTTATAACTTGTTATGGCCTTTTCCTTAACTGAAGTAATATTCTCCTGCTGATGTTAACAATAAAAAATTGGGCTCTAGATTATTGGTTCTGTTTTATTTGTTATTTATCAAAAATGAAAAATAATAATTCAAATTTTTCCCTTTTTTTGCTTTAAGTGTTCAGAGTCATACGTGCCAACAGACTATACCCTGCTGTGTGGTGCTTTAATTTTGCATTTTGCTTGAAAGAGAGGAACTCATTGTGCCAGCAACATTTTTTTAAATTTTTATATTTCACTTATTAGACCTGTTGGTTTGTTGTATTGATAGTTTGTCATGAAACTGTAAACTTAACAACCGAATTAAAGAATCAAATGTTTACTCAGGAGCCTGAATTATTATATTAATAGGCCTTGACTTTATTGAAAGTTGGAATGTGTAAATCAGACTTTTTTAGTTAAGCTTAATAAATAAGTATAAATTGTAGGCATGTATAAAATAGGTTGCTTTGTGAGTTTAGAGAGAATTGTTAAAATCAATCAATCTTACATTGTAATCCCCAAGTGTTTTGTTCTTTAATGGAAGGAAATATTTCATGATATTATTTTAAGCTTCACATATACACTTTATCAATTAACAAGAACGAGCAATGGTATAGGTAGTTTATGCCAGAAAATCAGGCTGTTTTGATTTTCTGGCTGTGCACTTTTGAAATGGCGACAAGAATCCCCTAGTGTGCCAAACAGGATGTGTTGGTTACTTACTGTTGAGTGGCACTGTACCAATATTCTGAAACAGTTAAACCACCAAAATTCAGCTTAGGAAATGCGTGACAGAAAATTGTTTGAAGAAAAGCATGCAAAGCTGGGAGGTTAGGAACCTACATGTAAAAGTCCTTGTAATAGTTGAGGGGCAAGTGTTTATTTTCGTTTTGGTCAAAACCTGTTTTTTTTGTAACTTTGCCAAGCCTTCACATGCCTGATTTTTGATGTTTAACTTTAATTTCACACCTAGAACAAAAGCCAGCATAGATCTTAACCAGTAAACAACAGTTTGGGTAGTTTTGTTTCTTCTTGCTCAGATGGTGATCAGAATTATGGTGCAACTAGGTTCAAACGGGATTTTTAACCAAAATCAGGTGGGGCTGACAATAAGGACTCGTTTTCAATCTTTTCCGCGGCTAGCTGAACATGCAAAGACCATGTTTGGAGTGGAAAAAAATTCAGTGTTATGTAAAGTACCATAGGTAAATGCATGTTTATAGAAACACTTGACATGGTTGTACATCCAAGAGTAATTATGAAAATATATTGACTTCGGTCCCTTCTTTCAGGTTGAAAGGGAAATTGCCATCATGAAGCTGATAGAGCACCCACATGTCCTTGGTTTATATGATGTTTATGAAAGCAAAAAACACTTGTGAGTATATACCCTCATTCGTACCTCTGAAGTAACAGGTATGCACGGCTGTTATCTTGTAACTTACATTATAGTATTGGGAGAGGGGAACAGGGAGTTCCAAACCTCTCTCCTCTTATAAATAACGTCCATGGTTCCTTCCCCTTGCCTTCTTCCATTTAACCCTTTTTCAGGCACAAAATAAGTGTTGCTGCATAATTCCCCCCTACTTGTCCCACTTCCCACCCTTTTCTCTCCCACTTCCTGCTCTTCTCCCACTCTCTATTCTTCCTGGCTCCCCCACCCCCTTTTCTCCCCACTGTATTAGCCAGGATTTAATTATCTTCTCGTGTTCAGTGGGGTCCAGGGGAATGTTTCCCCAGGAGCAATTTGGAAAAGAAAGCCTCTTAAGCATGGTTTCCATATGATTGCTGCGATCACTTTGAAAAAAAAGTTCAGCGATATAGCGATCATATGGAAACCACTTTCCAGCAATCATAGCAATTCACTGACAACGATTGCTGAGATGGAAAAAGTTCTATCTCGGCGATCGTTGTCTCTGCGATCGCAACAATCGCTGGAAAGAGGTTTCCATATGATCGCTATGATCGTAGCGATCATATAGAAACCAGGCTTTAGATGAATGTATTTTCAACATTTCGAAGCAGCAATAGGACTTTCTTCAAAAGGTTATTTTGTCCTATATTTTCATTTTTTTGGACTGAAAATAAGTCACATAAATGTCCAAATTTAAGGGTTGAGGGTTTGACTTGTACCTTCTCTTTTAGGTTTCTTGTATTGGAACATGTGTCTGGAGGCGAACTTTTTGACTACTTGGTAAAACGAGGAAGACTTCCCTTGGGAGAGGTATTTTTTCTGACTAATGTTTGGTCTTGCTTGCCTTTTAATCCACTGCTAACATTTTCATTGTCTGAAATTTAATTGCATTGTGCAGAATTACTTGTATGAAGTTAACAAGGTTTTCTTAATTTGTAAATGTTTGTATTTTAAGGCAAGGCGTTTTTTTGCTCAGATGATTTCTGCTGTTGACTTCTGCCATAAACATTGTATCTGGTAAGTAAAAAGTTTGCTTTGGTTTGATTGCTGATGTGCACTTCAGTAAACTATCCATCTGATACTCCTTCTTAATCTCTTTTAATCCTTTGATCCCCAATATCCACATAAAAATTCTCCAAACTGATCTCTATAGATTTGTTGGAAAGTTAGTTAAGAGAATTTGTTAAAAAAATCAAGATATTTTCTCCTTAATGATCAGTTTATAAATTCTCATAACCTTTCTATTTGATTAAGCATTGATATTGTTATGTGAAAATTTATGTTGGTCACACTTGGGACTTAAAGGGTTAAGGGCTAAAATATACATGTATACTGGAGCAGAAGCATCCACAATCTGGGTCTGGTGTCGCTTTACTTTGAAACATGACAGTATATATTAAAGGTAGATAAATTACCCTATGCATATATATATTTTTTTTCATTTTTCCTAACAGCCACAGAGACTTAAAGCCAGAAAATCTACTTCTTGACAAGAAGATGAACATCAAAGTTGCAGACTTTGGAATGGCATCTTTGCAGGTGACTAATATCTGTGTTTAAGCTTTACTTTCCTTGCAGGGTCTTAGCATGATGGGTGTCTGCCACCATCCTGTGAATGGCCAGATTTTGGCAGCAAATTATTTTTTTTGTGGTTTAAGTAACTTCCTGCATGAGGGACAGAATATGAGTTAAGGGTTATTGGGACAAATGTGAAAATTGTCTTTGTCCAAAGAGGCTTCTCTCTCAATCTATTATTCAAAATATTCTTGGAGTTCGTGGCCCCAGACCCCCTCCCCTTTCTTATGGGTGGGACCTCTAGTCCCTTTATTCCTTGGGGATACCCACTTAAACGTCCAACATTACAGGTGTATTATAACAAATATGCTTTTTCAGGCTTTCTAGAATCGAAGGACTAGTTTTGAAATTCCAGGTTCTGTAACAAATATCTACATTAAACCCATAATACAACTTGTACAGAACTGTAGAGAATTAATTTTTCCTTCTTAAAGGACTCAATCTAGGATTTTTGTACCCTCCAGGTTGGAGATAATGCCATGCTGGAAACAAGTTGTGGGTTAGTTACTTAGTAACTTGATTACTGCTACAGTAATTTATAATATTGTAGAGAGTTTGCATTTATTTTTCAAATTATGTTTCTCAATAATATTATTTAAGCTTTACTTAAGGGATGTTTGTTTTTCATTTTCCTCTCTTTTCCTGATTAAACAATGCCATTTTAAAAACAAAACTTGGTAAGGTGGACCGAGCTGCTGTATGAATATGCAGAACAGACTTTATGCCTTTATGAAGAAAAAAAAAATGTTATTACTTTTTCTTGACAACTGTCTATTTTGCTCTTATACTGTCTATAAGAATTTTTATGCTAATATCTGAGGAACATAACTGTAACCTCCCCTTCTACCCAACATTTATTTTGGGCCCTGAAAATCTGGTACATGTATGTATTATACAAATTCTGAATTATTTTGTGAGTGAGCAAACCTTTAGCACATGCGGTATTTTTTTTTCTGTGAGTGCACGGTTGTTATTTAAATTATATTATGGAATATAATTTTGAAATCAAATGTGTGGGTCTATTTAATATCTGGTTCAGAATTTATCTCCCTTGTGTAAACTTGAAATATGAGTCATGACACATACATGTACACATACCATACCCAGAAACAAAGGGAAATAAATTTTGAACCAGGAGTGAAATTGAAGCGATTGTGGAATTAATTATTATTAGTTAAATGTAGTTCTTTTTCAGTAATAATTTTCAAGATGCATACATGTATTACTGGTACACTGTACATTGTTTCATCCATAGGTCACCCCATTATGCCTGTCCAGAAGTCATCCGGGTAAGTTAAGCATCTTGTATCAGCATATGAATACTGTTCATGCATTTGCATAAACAGCTGTTTGTTGATATATATACATGTAATATTTTGTACATGTAATTACGGGACTTTGTAGTTAATGGTGGTAACGATCACAGCTAATGTCTATAGTTCTTCTTACCGCCTGCAACCGCTTGAAGGTTTACTAAAATTTAACAAGAATGCTCTCACAGTGGCATTCAGTCTCACTTGCTTGGAGGTTTAATTCTACATGAAAGAGGATTTCCTTGCTAAAGGCTTTTTAATTCCTACTTTATCGACGTCACATATTCTTCAGGTCATTAATGTTTTATTTGTTTGTGAATTGATTTAGTACGCGTGATAGCGACAACCGGAAATACATCTGAGGGCACAGGCTATGCGCCTGTATAAACATAAAAAATTCACTTGGGCCTCAATTCCAGACAATTACATCATTGCCAGAGATCAAAAAAGTGACTTACATGCCACATTATTTCAATCATCACCGAAAATAAACTGCAGGCTCATCACAAGATCCATTTGCATACAGTGAATGTTTACAACACCTGACCATCGTTTTGATCTGATCCGATCAAGGAAATAAATGAACATGTGGAAAAGTAGTAAAGAATACACAGCTTTTCTTTTTATGGGCTACGCATTGTGGGAAGAGAACATTAAAGGCAGAGTATTATTGGAATCAATGTTCGAAAATGTTGTCTAAAGATAACAATGGCCGATTTGCATCGTACAAGAGGTCTTAAAATGAGGGAATGACCTTTCAAAGAACTTAGCTCTTAAATTTCCCAGTGAGGATGGGGCCATGTCCCTCACTCCAATGCCCCCTCCCCTCCCCTCCCCGCTAGGAAAAGGCACCTCTGGCGCATTTATTGCCTTACAGCCATGAATGGTCCCTTACCTGCTGAGCTAAAATTTAGGGAAAATGCTGTATATGTACCTAATTATAACTTTTGTCCCCTCAGGGAGAAAAATATGATGGTCGTAAGGCAGATGTTTGGAGCTGTGGTGTTATTTTGTATGCTCTGTTAGTGGTAAGTTCAGGGACTGTATTAATTTTCCAACATTGTAAACACTTACTCGGCTTATTGTGATCTGTTAAAAAATAATATTATTAAGAAAAACCTGTTGTGAAGTATGACTGGACTTAATATTGTTGTACCTAAAAGAAAACTAGGGCATAATTCATTTAACCAAATTTTAAGTGTTATGGTGCCGAATAGAATTCATTTTTTGACAAGTCTTGTTTTGGTCCCCTCAAGGATAAATTTGGAACCCAGATATGCTTGAAATTGTGGTGTTACATCCCTATTTCAAAACTGATTATTCTCTTTGTGGCTGAATTTCCAACATGTTGGTATTGGTAAATAAACAGGAATGATCAAAGGTAATGGCAAATAATTATTGTCAACAATACTGGTTCAACCAAGAAAGGAAGTCCACCTGCAAAGGTGGCATTTTTTTTCTTAAACTTTACTGGTTGAACCGAAGCAATCCATTTGGTTTTGGACTCTCGGAATTTTGTTTGAATAAACTGTGCCCAGTGTGGTACATTGTAGTTATTCTAGCTATTAGTTCAGGTTGTTCCCCCAAAGCAGCAATTTTTTTACTTGTCCTTAATATCTATATAGGGTGCTCTTCCCTTTGATGATGAAAATCTGCGCAATCTGTTGGAGAAAGTAAGTTCATGCCATGCATACTGTTCTGTTGTGATGCAGTATAATAACGTTATCTGTTTACATGTAATTCACACTATTATTGGTAACAATTCAGTTTTGATTAACAGAAAAAAGAAACCTGGCAGCAGTTGTATTTCATTTTGTGGTGGCAGTTCAAGAACAATTTTTTAAACTTAACTGAAGTGAAAAATGGGCTTCAGTTGTCCGCGAGTCTGTTAACAATCAATTTCTTTTTTGCCAAACGAAACACGTGTCTGGGACTTGCTTCCCTACCCTTCTGAGTTTTTTTCCCCTACTCCCAGAGTCTAAACGGACGGACATGTACGGTGACATCATAACCAAATTTTCTTGCATGCATAGATTACCAAATTATCTTAACAATGGGGCTTTGTTCGCACGTGCTTCGCAAGTGCGTGTGGAGCTCCACTATAAACATTCACCCCAAAAAGTGGTCATGGTCGATTACACAAGAAGTGGTCATTTACGAGATGTTCAATTTAAAGGCTTTCACTGTGAAAATTTTGTTGTTTGAAGACAGTGGTTGCTTTTGTACATATGGACTTCACTGTTCTCCTTCCTTCTCCTGCTCAAACTGAAGTTTACATCCACCTCATAAAGAAGGTGCAGCACTGCACAGTTCTTACAGCTGTATTAGGTGTTACACACATTTGCCATCTCTGCTGCCATACCTTTCATCACTGTGGTTTCTTAGTACTTAAGTTATTTTGTTGTTAATGAAAGAGGTGAGCCATGGCTTCAGCCATATTATTTCTCGTTTTCAGGTGAAGAGGGGACATTTCAGTATCCCAGTCTTCATTCCAACAGATGTCCAAGAAATGATTAAAGGCATGATTACAGTAGACCCAGAAAAGAGAATTACAGTTAAGTACACAATCAATTTGAGCCAAATATTTAAAAAGTATGTATTGTTTTGTTTTCTTTGTTTTAGTTGAAATAACACATGTATGTTGTTAGCCTGGAAACTAAGATTTAGTTGTCTGTTGTAGATGGAAGCTGTAAAGAAGCATCCTTTTCTTACCAGGTATTTTAAACTTGTTTTGTCCATGTAACAAATGTTCTCTTTTAAGTTCTATTTCATATGCCTTGAGGTCAACTTCATCTACAATTTACTTGCTTCATCATATAAACTTGAATAAAAGCTGTTTAAAGCTGTTTAAAGTTTCATTTGCATTACTCTCTCCAATATTAAAATAATTTTAACCTTTGCCTTTTTTCCTTTCAGTTTCAAAGATGAACTTGCTCCTGTACCCCATGTTGCTGATGTGGTCAAGGTATCAAAATATTGTTTAATTTTTTCACCAATGCCATAACATCTTAGGGTATGGGTGTTTGCAGGTAGACTTGCTGTACTCCAGTGTCAAAAAAATGATATCTTCTTGTGCATGATATCTACTTGGTGGAGGCAGTGTGTCCGAGTGTTGAGCGTGCTGGCCTTGTAATTCGCAGGCCCCAAATTCAAGTTTAGCACTGACTACTGGCTGGATTTGTTCTCTGTAGTGCCGAGTTCAAATCCTTGGCCACATTTGTTAAATAGCCAACTGGTTTGCCTCCTACCAGTGTAGAGTCTTCACTGTGTTATAAAGCCTATAAGAGGGGAGGATAATTAAGTATTAAATTAAATTTTATGTCTTAAGAATAGAGAAAGTGATCTAAATAGGAGAAGGGTTTGAAAGCCTGCAGGGCAGACCCCTTAAATACGTAAGACACAGGTCTCCTCTCCCATTCTTGAACCTTCTCGTGGAAACAATGTTTCTTTCGCAATTTTTGAACGTTTATGTTGTTAATAAAAAATAAAGCTCTTAGAATACATCCCTACTATGTGTAATTACCAATGTTTTCCTGACAGACAGAAGTGATTCCCAGTAAAGATGAGGTTGATCCTGATGTGTTAAAGAGCATGTCATCACTGGGTTGCTTCAAGAACAGGGAGAAGCTTTTGTGCAATCTTTTAAAGCAAGAGTGAGTACTCTAACATTACGTTTTTAGTCGTAAAAGTTTTGTTGTATCCCTTGTAACATTAGTAAAACACAGCTCGACATTTGTTGATGAACAAATCTTGTTGCTTTTGTTCAACAAATGTTAAACGCTAAAATAGGCCATTCAGCATGCTGAACATTGTCAAGGGAGGGTACAGATGGACTCTATACCTTGCGATAAGTTGCAATTTAATGAACAAGGGAAGCTGAAACATGAGACTATATAGTATCAAGAAAACGAATTTAGGTCGTGTAGGATCAAGTTTTGGGAAACTGAATTATCTTAAGAACTTCTTTTCTCATTGTCATTCTATAGAAAGACGATAGAAAAAGTCATTTACTTCATGTTATTGGAGAGGAAGGAAAGGTCCCCCACTCATGAAGATGCAACAGTTGCAGCCATAAAGAATATAAGAGAGATTTGTAAGTTTTTGGTTTGTCATTATTTGTCATTACTTTTGATTCTCTTGCAAATAAAACTCACTTTCGCCAGGAAGATTTTGCACTTACCGGTAGCCTCGTTTTGAAAGTGCAAGTGTTTAGAACTCGGAAATGACCTGTTTAAGTTTTTAAAGGCCATGTTACACGAAACAATTCGCAACGAAGATTTTCGGCACATCACAGCAATGCAGGATTGTTGTGACATTGTTTCAAAGTTTGACAACGTCAATTCAACATTCTTGTTCTAAATATCCTCATTGCAATTCCTTCTCAATTTCTTATAGTGGAAGATGCACCAAGAAAAAGGATCGACTCTTGTGGATCTCCAAGATTGCAAAGACCAAGGTAAGCTTAGCATTCACTGCAATATTGCAAGTACATAACATTATGGCTTTAGTCTCAGTCAAAATATTTGGGACACTTTACTGTCTTCTAGCCCTCCTAATGGTGGTGCACAAGATTTGGTGAAAAGTTAACAATTGGTTTTGGTTTTCCTTCTGATTGGATAAAAAAACCATATTGGGTAAACGCAAAACCAATTACCTTTCGACACTCAAATGAAAACCGCTCTAACTGCGATAAACCATATTGGGAGGGAGAGAAGACGGGTCAAGAGGAAAAAAAACAGCGTTCGATGGAAGTGTCTCAACTATTTTGTCTAGGACTGACTTGAACGTGGCAATATCAACGACGGCCACTGAAAGCCAAAATGTTATTTACACCTCTTTTGAAAAAATAATGATATTGTCAGCACGCTTGCCGATGTTAAAATTCTTCTGTAAATGGACACCAATTTTTGTGTGAAAAGGACGATATCAGGTGGTGTTAGTATAATACCTTTGAGGCGATGACCTTCACTTAAAACTCATTTGAAAATTGCTGTAGATTTACAGTTAATCAAGGTTTTTTATTTGTAAAACTGCATGTAAAAATTTATTCCAAGCCTCTAAAAATTTGTAGGAAAACTTCGCTAACCGCCTCGCCTCCTGTTACCCCAAGGACAAGGGCAGAGACTTATTCTGGAGCAGGAACCAGGTTAGCAAAACTATTAATTTGCATTGTGTAAAAAGACAAAGTCAGTTACTTCGAAGTATTCTTATGAGCCAAGGGAGAAACGAGTTTAGTGGCAACCAGGGTCCTCTCCAACTCCGAGTAGGAGGGAACCCTGGGAATGAGGTTGGGTTGGTCAGGTCCGCGAAAAACAAGGTCTTCAAAGGGGGTACCTTTTCTGTTAATAGTGGATATATAATAGGGTTAGGGGTTGGACCTCGGGCCCCCGCCCCTGGGATAAACACCTGCTGTTGTGTGACATTGTTTGCGTCATTCATCAATGTTTTGTTACCAGCCCCCCAAAATTAGACGAACTGTTCAACTCGCTGTTTAACTCTTCAGACTTTTTTGAAGAAGAACATTTTGCAACATGTTTATTCGATTTTTCTACTAGCCAGCGCCACAGACGAAACTGAATTCTGGTTAAGTTCGGCTGCGAAAGTGAATCCTTGTTCTCTTTCCCCAACTGTGTACCAAGATTTGAGTACGCGCCCTGAGTGGCTGTGAAAAAAGCCAATGTGGATGTGCTAATCAAGTTGAAAGGAAATGTGAAACGCACTTCCGGTAACTCGTTGAATGCGTTGAGGGCTCAGAACAAGAATCGGAGCTGCTTTGGCGACGTTACCACTGGTTTTCCCGCCAAAATGACGTCTGAGAAACAAGCGCAGAAATACGGATGACGCGTTACTACCCAGATCTGGGTAGTGCTTCTGATTGGTTGAATAAAATTTCCCACGCGGCACGACCAATCAGAAGCATTACCCAGATCTGGGTAGTCACGCTTCATCAGTATGGAATTTCTGCGCTCGTTTCTTAGACGTCATTTGGCGGGAAAACCAGTGGCAGCGTCGCCAAGTGTCGGTTGTTTTCTGAGGCTAATTTTTCACTAGCTCTGTATTCAACAAGCCAGGTGCATGAAAGCTGAGAAGTTTGCCACCCAGACAAGAGAAGATAGACACAGAGCAGTACACTGCAGATTCTGTTGCACATGGCACATCTCTTGCACTTCAATGAACGCACTCCAGTTTCTGCCCCAAAAACAATTATTTACTTTTAAACTGGTATTTTGTTTGTTTTCGTAGAGGAGTGGACGTTTACCAACACGGAACTGTTTCTGCTATTGTTTCATTGCTTTGTATTTCAATGTTTGCAGTCCTCTGGTACATGTGAGTCCAAAGCACCAGCCGGTTTGCCGTAATGCACAACAAGAAAGTCCGCTGTCCAGTCCTCCTGAGTCGCCTTCGCACCATGCAACATCACCCCCAGGGAGCCCCTGGCGATCCCGATTCGCTAACTTTAAAAATGCGATTGTTGGCTCGCCAAGATTTCACAGGAAAAAAATTGCAAATAGTAGGTTTTGATATCTGTTGTTAATTTAGCCTGTGTAGCTTTTTTTAGGGCGACGGGTAAAATTTCGAGGACGCGCGCGCATATGAAGGGCACTCTATAAAACCAACCAAGTAAACAACCTGGCTCCTGTCATGTAGGTTATTGCTGATATTATCTGTGGTAATGAATCGAATTGAATAGAATTAGTAGCTTTATAAACCTTGTTTTTAACTTATTTTCTCACTATGGGTTTGAAGTAACAAGCTTGTCGTACTATCTATGTAACTCTTGTTTTTTTCTGCCCCATTGCGTTGTTTGCCTCCCAGAAAAGTGTTTTTGTACCACGTGACTGTTTCGCTGAGGGCCTATGGCTGACGAATTCGTTCCCACTTCACCCAGCAACCTTAAGAAAGTCAGTTTATTGCGGACCTAAAAAGTAGTTTCCGGAATTTTCAAACATAAGTAAAATTTTTTAAGTTGTTTTTTGTAGTGACTAAAGTAATCAAGTTATCCATACTTTAACCTTTTTAAGTCCATGTGTAATTAGCCTGCAAACGCAGACTTATTCAGAGAAGCAACGACCGGAAATACGTCTGCGACGTTCGCAGGCTGTATGTATAATTGGTAGCCTACCAAAAGTTAACAGAAATCATCAGTGTTTTCGCAAAAGGTGATTATGGTTGCCACAGGTCAGGAAATGGTCAGGGAAAAAATTCTTCAAGGTCAAGGAAAAGTGAAATTTTAAGAGAATAAATATATTTATTCTTTTCCCTCTTCTTTTATTGTTTTCTATCATTTAAAATTCTTTTGTACATTTTACGGACATGAATCCTGTTGTATTGGAGAATATTGTTCATGAAATTGAACGAACGGCAAGCTGATGTTGAGCTTTCAAGATTTTTTTTTTCGCATGTTACGTTAAGGAAATATCAATAATTCATGAACACTGCACGTGACTTGTTGAAAGCATAAATAAATTGGTGGAGAGGATGACTGTGAGGAGCGGGTTGGGTCCATCACCAGGATTAATTTGTGAAATGTTGATTCACTTGGTCAGGGAAATTATTTATTTGTCAGGAAAAAGTCAGGGAATTTTAATACAGGCGGTTCCTTTTCTATAGTACTTTGACTGGAAGATATTGGTAGTTTGGGTAGGGAGATGCTTAAAAAAGCTATTAGTCGAACTGTATTCTGTTTTCTCAGAGTTTTATTTACTTTCTTAGATTTTCAGGAAAGTAGTACAGTTTCTGCCTCGCCAGACTCATCGCCTGAGTAAGTTCTTCTTTTGATTGCCATTAACTGCATCTGATGTATACGCAAGTTTCTGTTATGCTTAAGTTTGCTTGTAATTTTTTTTTGTTGCCAAAAGATTTACCATAATGTATGTTTATCCTTGTTTTAGGCTTTATTTTCATCTTTCAAAAGCATTGTCATACGAAAGCCCTCTCCCCCCATCATATCGCAAAAAAATAATAACAATGTATCTTTATTTCCGCCTTACTACAGCATCGCCAAGCGCTCCTGGTTTGGGCATCTGATGTTAGGACACCACAACTCACACCATAAACACGAGGTAGGGCACTTGATGTGTACAGCATTTAAAGCCGGTGAATAGCATCCAGTATTTTTGGAACCGCAACAAAGTTGCATGTGGTTGGGCGATGTTAGATGAGGCGTGTAAAGGAAACCAACACCTTCCAACATATTGCATTAAAAGTGTACATTGCTTGTGCAGAGCCATTGTTTTCGTTGTTGCTTGTTTTAATCAAAATACCATTTAAAAGAAGTTTCAATTGGGCATACCTTCATATAACATTGTTTCGAAAGCTATTAGTAGTGACCAAGCTGTTGCGAGGTGGTTCGTCGCAACAGGGAACAACAGAATTGTTGGATGAACACTTGAACTCATCTAATTATGTCGGCCCCGTTGACCTAGTCGTCGGAGGGCGGTAGCAACCACCATTTTCCCCAAAACATCGACTGATATATCGGTCGATTACCAGTCTAAATTTCGGTCATTATATAACTTAAAATCTCTTTCTAACTTCATGTGGTTTTCTTTTTAGCCTTTCTTTATAATCACACGAGAAAAACCCTTCAGCACCGTCAAAGCGGATCTTGTCCATGCATTTTTATCAGTAAGTTATAGTACATTGATTTTAGTTGATACTGACCATGATTTTGGCCGAAGAGAAGCAAGATGTTGGCTGGAGACGTATTTTACTGGCTGTTAAGTATCAACCCCTGGAAACTTGCTCGTAGAGCTTTAACCGCGCTGTTTCGTTGACGTCTAATAGACTTTATTCACGATACCCGCTATCTTTGCACGCGCTCTAGGATCGATGGGATAAAAGCTATGTCACGTGGCATTTCAGGGGGCAAACAAGTGATAAAATCACGGCCGAGTTTGTTCATACTATCAAAACGGGGCGACGATTTCATAGTCGTGCAAAATGGATATATCACGTTTTGGCAAGATTTACGTCATTACTGTTTGCCATGATGACGTCTACGGTCGCTACTGCATACAAAAAAGTAGCAATGATCACTTCCACCCATATTTTGACATTATCGTCTTTAAGATGAAAAGGTCTTCATTTCCTGTTGTCCAGAACAAACAAACTCGACCGCGATTGGCAATTGTTTTCACTTGTTTATCCCCTGAGAAACCACTTGACATTGCTTTTATCCCATCAGTCATTTAGCGCGTGCAAAGATGGCGGGTATCGTGAATAAGGTCTATTCACCACTTTAGAAACAAGAAGCAAACTGAACAGTGTTAACTTCCGCAAAGACTTCTGGAATTGTTTCTAGGGACATGGAAAAATCAGCCAATAGCTGACCGGCGCGTGCCCACTAACGATCCCAGAAACAATTGCGGGACGAATTTCGGCTCCAGTTCCCTTCTCGTTTCTAAAGTGGATAATTGGTCGCTGATTTTTCTGTAAATTATAAAATAAATTTTTATTTAATTATTTTATTTTTCTTTTGTAGGGATAAATTACTTTTCTCTTGAATTTTAAAATACATTATTATTAAATTATTTTGTTTTTCTTTGTTGAGATAAATGACTCTTCTCTTGACAGTATTTCACTCGAAGCTTCTGTGATAATGATGACAATTGTTCTTTGATTTCAGGTCAGTCACTTAACACACTCGGTTCTTTCACAAAACGGCTTCAAAGCAGAATACAAAAAACCTGGAGGTAAGTTGGTCAGAGTGATGACATTGTATTGGATGTTAATCGGAAGACTAATTTTGTCTTCTTCAGCAGAAAGTTTACGTTGATAACGTGGTTAAATTGAAGTTGGCTCCTTTTAAAATTCCGCAATTGAGAAAGACTTTGAAAAAAGCAATTGTTGAATTGCATACATTTAAAGCATCCTGCTGGTGAACAGTACGACACACGGATACAACAATTAACAACAATTATTATCCTCTTCAAATTCAATTGAGAAAGTTTGAACAGGATTTCTTTCTCTCTTCATGTATTGTTAAATAGTTTCACTGGGAGACTTACTGATTGAGTAAAGGTGCCCAGAGCTTTAGTACGGTGTTCTCTGTGTAGATACAGTCAACTCTTGCCTTGCGGACACCCCGCTCAGTATAACGGACACCCCGATAAAACGGACTGTAGTTAAAAACCCTGGCAAAAAGAAATCAAAGACGTTTGACTCCCGCTATTACGGACTCTCGCTAATGAGGACACTAACTTGAGGTCCCTACAGTGTCCGCTATAAAAGGAATTGACTGTAACATTAGTGACAATGACCATTGACTCTTTAGTTCTTACTTTCAAATCAGTTCTTATACTAGCCTGTACCACAAACAAAGTTAAACTCTGTTTAAGTCCGTCTGCAAAACAGCACCGAAATCCTTGTTCTAGGCCCCCACCTGTGTACCAGGATTTGGTACGCGCCATGTTTGGCCTGTTAAAAAAGCCATTGTCGATTTGCCAATCAGATTGAAAGGAAATTCCGGTAATTCGTTGAGTCCGTTGGCCCAGAACAAGGATATCGGCGCTGCTTCGCAGACGTTACTAACCGAGGTTAAATTACGTCTGTGACGCAGGATATTATTATACAATCCTCCTCCACAGACATCCTTAGAGCTTGGCTTCATCACTCGTTCCCTCCTCACGAACGCGTCACGAAGCCCTAAGAACGTTTGCGGAGGAGGCTATTCTCGTACAAACCCGTTCTTTGTTTTTCCGAAAACATTTTTGTAGGTAAAACAATGTTCAAGAAAGCTGTTCGCATCTCGGTGGACATTTGTCCTGCTGACCGTGATAAGCAAGAGGAAAGCACAATTCACACCATCTCCATCGTTCTTGAATCAGGTTAGTGTCCAGTTCCCCGTGCTATTTTGTTGCGCCTTTTTCTCGGCGGATAAGGATTATTCACTGAAAATATTTATCCTTTTCTGACTGGCTCAAATCCCCCGGCTTATTCTTCATAACCAGCTGTTGACCAGATTTGAAAGGTGTATGCGATATCCGATAAAATGACGTCAGTGCTGCGGATAACAACGGAAAAAGGCACGGCAGCCAAGAAACCCTGGGACAAGATTTCGTGAGCTCAGCTGTTTTGGTAGAGCTGGAGAGAATGGCGATAAATTTCACACTATTTGCGAAGAAAAAATAGAAAAAACACAGCAAGCGAAGCAAAAATACAACTCAACGGATGTCAAGTGCTATTTGAAGAGTTATCTGTTAGACTATAAACATTCCGTTATATCCTGAATTTTTATCGAGGAGCAGGGCAATGAAAACGGGAACTTCCGATCGAGGTATTAAACATGCTTTTAAAGTTTTTTTTTTTAATAATGAATTATTATGAATGAATAATAAAAAAATTATTGAATTCGGTTTTCGTATGATCAGAATAATTATGTAGATTCAGAAGGGTGGCTACAGTGGATACAACATTAAAAACCTCTTTGTTTGTTTTTCAGGACCTGTTCATCGTTTCAAGAAGCTATGTGAAAAACTTCAGCTCATCCTTTTCTCAAATCAGAGACGAAGCACTAGTAACTGTCGTGCGGAAGACGAAAATAACGAAGAATACCGCGCCCCTGATGAGAAGGACGCGTCTTCTAACAACTCCAAGCTTCAGCTTACTCATTTATCTGACACGGAGAGTGAAGGAGAAGTATTGGACAGTCTCAGGGCATCTACGGAAGGTGTCTCTACGAATATGAATGGAAAAGAAACTGAAAAAAATGGTTAAAATAACACCAAAACAGTGGCCATGTCTTTTATACGGGGAATATATATGAGTCGCTTACTTCAGTGAAGTAAATTACTGGCACGTCTGGTGTCGTCACATTAGCCCACGTTCGCAATATTAAAATTCTAACATGACTCCGAGGCTTTTATATTTCCATATTTGGTTTGGTTTTCTTTGTGCTCAAGTCTCCTCTAGGGATTTCGAGACAATGAGCCTCGTAGTCATGTTAGAATTTTAATATATAGAGTGTGAGCTATTGTACTAAATTATTTATGAACAGCTAGTTGAAACTGGTTGCCCAATTAATTATTTATTGCATCTGAATTGGAAACTTTATTGAAAGAAAAATAGAAAATGTATAACAGTGAGAACTGAGGCCATGTCCGATAATAACAAAAAGAACTCTAGGATAACAGATTCGATCAGTACTATTTCAAAAAAATAGGACCGTAGCAAACTACGACAGTGACGACAACGAGAACGTCAAAAAGCAATTTGTTAAACGAGCTAAACAACAACTCTGTACGTAAAACACACTTTCTGTCAATTTCTACACGTTTGTGATTTTGCTAGGATAAAAAATGGTGTTTCGTGATCATCCATTGACGAGGACAATTTTGCAAATATTATCAGTATTTTTGCCAATTGGTATGGATTTCTTCTAAATTCGAATCTATTGTGTAGATTACTTTACAGTGTCCTAATAACAAGTGTTTTTCTATAACGGCGCTCGCGCATGCTCTGGGCCGGGTTGTTCAAAGCCGGGTTAAGATAACCTAGGGTTGGTGCGAAATTTGAATTCAGATATGAAAGGTTACGAAGCAAATTCAGTCTAATTCTTTTTATCTGCATTGTGGTGATAGGATGCTCTTAAAAAAACTTGCGAAAATTATACGAGAAAATACTTTTCAACAAAAGAAAAAGAAACCGGGATTAAAATTTAACCCCGGATTAGCGCTAATCGGCCTTCGAACAACTGGGTCCTGGTTGTCTTGCCCTAACTGAGTTGACCAGGCTGGGCGAGCGAAAGTTGAGAATGAATGGGAAAAAGTTGGTCCGGCTTAGAGGGTTCGCCGCGTTTTGTAAGGAAATGTACGAAAAGTTGGCTCGCTGGGTGTAGCTCGGATAGGCACGTGACCCTGGTACCCAGGTCAAATTGTGGCGTTTGTCTCTCTACGCAAATCCCACATGAGAGTGTAATGTGGTCAGTGATCAATGAACCGTTTTCACTCACGTGGCCAGCAGCTTAGGGAATTTATTGCAACCAAAAGAAGTTTTAACATTAGAGGAAGGTTCAACTCCCAGATGACCAAAATGGCCGCCGTTTCATTGTTTTGGGTAACCAATGTATGTGGCGGACGTGACGTCATGTGAAAAGGCTCTATAGTGATCAATACTTTTCTTCGGCGTTTGTACTGTAACAGTCTTGAAAGATGAATTATCCCAACCTATTTAATGTATATATTACTCTTAATGGACCCTGAATTTGTATTTATTTAATAAAGGATTACTTCCAGCAAATGGTATTAAGTTGATCAATGTCTGCAGTTGAGACTGCACTAGGGCAACGAGTTACCTCGTCCCTATGGGGTGTCTTCGAGGGCCTTCTCGGTGTCGTATCCGAGAAGAACGGCCGATAGTAAACTTGCTCGGACAACGTGACCCGAAGTACTTCGGCCGCGGGCAATAATGAGGCCAAGGGACTGGGCAAGACAACGAGCACTGCTGCGCATTCTTAGGAAGAGTTTTTTCATACGAACTGAAACTTTATTTCCCTCGAGTATTTCTTTGACTTTAGTGCTAGTTTTATGGCAAACTTCCCTAATTTTCAATTATTTAAACGTTTGTTCAATTATTTAAACGTCTGTTGACACTACGATACCGTCAACTTCTGCTTGTAAGCCCCCCCAGTTATAGGCCCATGTACCCACTAAACAAAAATTTAGGTTTCTGGGAAACTGCCCACCTACTCCTCCCCTGAGATAACATTAACACTTACTTCTCACTTAGGGCAAAATGTTGGCTTAAGGGAGGGGTAGGTGGGCAGTTTCCCAGAAAAAAAACCTAAATTGATCCCAAAAAAATACCTCCGCCTAAAGTCTCCCCCACCGATTTAAGTCCCCCCTAATTTTGTTCCAAAAGTATTGAACTGAATTCGATTTATATTGACGTTTTGATTTTTAATTGAAATCTAGTAAATGCAAAACGTGTTTTGATCAGCACTGCTATAGCTTATTTCGAAGCGCTTCATAAGCCCCTCCGGATATAAGCGCCTCCGTTTATAAGCTCCTCTAAAACCCAGTAAGTTTTTGCGTCGTTTTCGTTGTCATCATTCTTTCTTTTTGTTTTTAAGAAGAGTTGCCCTGATGACTAACAGAATAAAAATTCAGGTGCGTTCTAAAATACCATGAAGGCATCGATTCAACAGAAATTTGCAGCAGTTTCCCCATTTTCATTTTTGCTATTTTTTCCTGGAATAAGTGCTAAGTGATTCCTTACGACGACTGAAAATTTTGTTTAGTTTGTCAGCTGATTCATTTATTGTTATAGTATTTTTTTTTTTCACTGAAGCTTCTGAGTTTCTCATCTAAGATTTAGTCCTTAATATGTCACGTCGTACACTGAAAGTGAACATTGAGTTGCGTGACAGTAGTTTGTACGTCTTTGGCTTTTAAAAATGGCCGCAGCTTTGAAGAAGTCGCTGCTCGTTCATGAGCCTCCTATTTTGGAATTGCGTTTATTTGAAATTGTGTCATTAATCAAATTCGCTGCCTTAAACCCCACTTAAGAACTAGTATGTCTTGCTGCACTCAAACAACTATGGCCTAGTGTATTCGATTCCACGTGGCGGAGCAGACCGAGAAGACCTTCTGACTTAAGGTTTGTGGTTGTAAATTGTAACACTTCTAAAGCAATAATGCTTATCGCTGTGGCTATATGACCCGTAACCGGTCAAGGTTTTCAAAACACTAAATGGCCGGCAGTTCTATATTCTCAGTAAATTTCACAAAATCGAAAGGTTCCACCTAATCTAAACTATTATATGTCGATTTAGAAAAGTCAAGCGATCCTGAAATGCTTTACAGATCTTAAGTCTAGTGTTTGGTTTACGCTGGGCTCAGAGGAGGAAACCATGTTTTGTGACACTTAGAACTTTTTTCAGCTCGACTGTCGGTCAAGGTTTATAAAACACTAAATGGTTTGACTTTAAAAATCAAGTTTTGGGTATATTTAAGATTGATTATTTTTAGCTGAAACCTTGAGTTTAGGCTTCGTTTAAGTATGGTTTCATAGTACGCTCCTGCTTAAACTAAACGTTTCAAGCACATTTAAGCTTGATTTTTAAATGCAACCAAAACAAGGCGTTTACACACAATTAAACAGCTGATTAAACCTGCCTTAAACTTTAGCCTTAAAGCTGCTTTAAGCTTGGTTTAAGTTAAATTAAAATTTGGGTTTAAGGAACTTAAACGTCCACTTAAACTTATTAAACCTAAGTTTAAGACAAGATTAATTCGTGTTTAAGAACACTTAAATTTTATTTTTCTTCTTGTGGTCCTGGTAGAGAGGGAACGCATGATAAAATGAAGCTGACAAAACACTGATGCGTGATCAGAGAAATAGCGATCAACTTGAAAGGTAGATCGAAAAATCTGATCAGACTTTCGGATGATGAGCAACTCTAAGGTGTGTCCATAAATGTGGGTGGGGCCCACCACATGCTGTTGTAAACTGAAAGACTCCAAAAGATCTAGAAATTTTGTACACTAGCTGTCATATGGTACATCCACATGAATATTAAAAGCGGCAACAAGCACCAGCTGTTCCTTGCGTAGAACTACGGTTTCAAGATAGTCACTGAACTCAGTAAAAAATATATTCATTGGAATCCTACGATCATCAGAGTCTGACTGTAGTCGATATATTATAACCACCTGCAGATCATGAGAAGAGGCTTGCTGGACGGTCCATTCAGAAAACTCAAACGACATTTTTATTCCCCCATCCTCTTTTTTCACCGCAAGCAAGTCCCTGAACAGAGGAGTTGTACCGCTTCCTTGCCGACAAGTGTGAGCATGATCCAGTAGCTTGTATCCATCTGGACAAAATTCTGCTCGAACTGCGTCATCTTGATTGTTAAGCAAAGTCTCTGTAAGAGCGATAAGATCAGCGTTACACTAGCCTGTGAACAGGCTCTCTGTTTGGGGAAAAAAATAGCAAGGAAAGGGAAGGGCTCGACCAAAGGCCTGTTCACAGGCTACGTTACACTCGCAAACGAGTTAAGCAAACACAAAGAAAGTAGCGAGTTTGATATTTTGTTGAAAGGCAATCGATTAACAGTGATGAGATTGGACGGGCTCCTTGACCGAGAAGACAAAAAAACATGGTGCGTACCGAAAAAATGACAGTGAGAAGTTGAAATATCTTCACAGTCCATAGGGCCGCGATTTAGTGTGAATACCAAATCGCCTTCTAATAAGCAATCGTGGAATGTAGCTGAGGAGTTTGAATAATAAGCCCAAGGGTGTTTACTTCGTTTGATCTTTAATATACGTGCTACACATTCCAGGCCACAATAGGACAAGTGACAGGTGTTCAGATACCCAGTAGTGTCGTCGCAGATATGCCAAGATGAAAATAGCTCATTATTGTTGGAGTCCCACCATTTGTTCAATGAGGAGAATAGCTCATTATCGCCGGAATCCCACCATTTCGTCGAAGAAATATTCAAACCTCCAAAACACCAAGTCGACGCCAACCAGACAGAAAACCCTAATTTTCTGGAAAAGTCGCAATGATGTCAGTCGACCCAATGCTCGGGGATGTGCTCCAGGTGGTAAGTCATGCCTTTTTGTGGTTGAGCAAATAGTTAGAAGTAAAAGTACAACAACGACAGAGCTACCGAAACCGTGGCGAGCCGTTTCATTTCAGGTAGACCAGTAAATTTTAATTGCGCTTGACTCACGGGTGATAGTAATTTTTCCAACCTATGTCGTAATTATGCTTGATCACTATGCTTGGGCCGCCTCATAGCTGCTTACAAAACCCCGACAAGTAGGTATAAGTTAATTGGATTTGTTCAACTTTCTTACTAAATGAGATGTAATAGTGTTAAGTAACTTGATATTTTACCTGGGCCTTCACAAATATTTTTGCTGTGCTCGTTTAAGGTGACTGAACACAGTTTTGCGGGCAGTCAGCGGTAACTTGAGTAACGGCGCGTGTTTTAAATTAGACAGACAAACATGGCGGCGAAAGAGCAATGGTACACAGAACACGATTTCTCAAAATCTACTTGTTAGAATTTTGTAACATTTGGTAAAATTTTTCCTTTTATAGTATTTTCAGTAAAGAGAACTTTAAAATGGAAGTTGAACAGACGAGTTTGGTGACACATTTAATAATTACAGTTCAATTAAATTATTGATTATCTAAAAAACCCGTCAGTTAAAATTTGGTCAAATAAGTTTCAAATGGTAATGATTAATTATATTAAGCTGTGTACAAGTTTACAGGAAAATCTAATGAGTGAATTTTATGTAAACTGAGAAAAAGTGAAATTTTAAGGTGGCTCCGTAATTAATACAAGAGCATTTAACTGTGACAAATTTTCCGTCATAACTTTTTGGTTTTTAACGCGATGGCCGCGAAACTTGGCAAAGAACAACAGATATCAATCGGCAATAACACAAAATATTCCGATTTCACTGATGGTAAATATTTCTTGAGAAATTAGAGCTTAAAAGGACCCTACTGTTCAAAGAAAATCGCGTCTAGTAAAAAATTTTGCTGATATTTTTTACTGAAATTTCTGGTATCGGCTTTAATTGATATAATAAATATGCCAGAGGAATTTCAGAAAAATCGTTGGAGCAGAAGTCCGTAACTAAAAGTCGGTCAAAATTCAGCTGTGAAATTGTTTTGGAATTTCAAAAATAAATTACTATCAGGTAGAAGGAGCCACCAGTTTGAATTTTCGGGACAAGTAAATTCAACGCTTGCTAATTCTTAAAACAAAAGCCGATTGCCTATCGTGCTATTCTTTGAAAGGTACTTTTTAGTTTTAGAAGAACTATAAATTGCTCCAAGCCTTGCTCTGAAGTAGAATGACTTGTTCGTCGACAGTTTTAAAATATCCCTTGGCAGTTTTGGCTCAAACTCCTGCTGCATACATTTTGATGTATTGCCATGCATTTTCAACGACTTTTACTGCCGTTCGTTGCTTCCAACTCAGGAAAAAAGTATTGAGATTGGACGCTACCTCGTATCAGAGCTCAGAAAGAACTGTCCAGCACCTTTGTTTATGACTACAAAATGAGCACGAGCGGCAGTTCTGCGTGGAATTCGCACCTCACCCAGGGGGGACGAACGACAATGATGACCATGCTTGTGATCCAAATAACATCACAGTGCGAAATAAAATTATCGCAAAAATACTGCCCGTTAATAAATTTACAACTCCGAAATTTTTGTCACTCCTTCCTTCAATAAATGGGTATTTTTTTCTTGATTATTATGTTTTGCTCTGCAATACATGTTTATACAGACCGGTTCACAGACATGGGCATCATTGTCACTCGTCCCCCCTGGTTGAGGTGCGAATTCCTCGCAGAGCTGCCGCTCGTGCTCATTTTCCGGTCATAAACAAAGGTACTGGACAGTTCTATCTGAGCTTCGATACTAGGTAGCTTACAATCCCAATACCTTTTTCCTGAATTGGAAACAACGTAAAGCACGAAAAGCCGTTGGGGAGGCTTTGCAATACATCAAAATGTATGTAGCAGGAGTTTGAACCAAAATTGCCAAGGGATATTTTAAAAATGTCGAGGAACAAGTCATTCGATGTCAGAGCAAAGTTTCGAGCAATTTATAGTGCTTCTAAAACTGAAAAGTACCTTTTAAAGAATAGCACGATAGGCAATCGGCTTCTGTTTTCAGAATTAGGAAACACACTGAAGTTGCTTGTCCCGAAAATTGAAACTGGTGTCTCCTTCTTTCTGATAGTAATTTATTTTTGAAATTCCAAAACAATTTCACAGCTGAATTTTGACCGACTTTTAGTTACGGACTTCTGCTCCAACGATTTTTCTGAAATTCCTCTGGCATATTTATTATATCAATTAAAGCCGATACCAGAAATTTCAGTAAAAAATATCAGCAAAATTTTTTACTAGACGCGATTTTCTTTGAACAGTAGGGTCCTTTTAAGCGCTAATTTCTCAAGAAATATTTACCATCAATGAAATCGGAATATTTCGTATTATTGCCGAATGATATCTGTTGTTAATTGCAAAGTTTCGCAGCCATCGCCTTAAAATCGAAAAAGTTATGACGGAAAATTTGTCACAGCTAAATGCTCTTGGGTTAATTACGGAGCCACCTTAAGGTTGTATTCAATCGTTCATGTTGCCATGGAAACTACGAAAATGTCAAGATTTACCTGTCAATCAAAATCTTTCATCAGTACATTTTTCACTTGCCACGTTTCAGCTTGTGACCAGAAACCTTTCTCTTGCCATGATTTGGCAAATGACATATAATCACGAAACTGTGTTCAGCCACCTTAATTTGGACGGATGAAAACACGTCATAAGTCAGTTTTTCCTTTATAAAGATAAAAGTTTATCATGACAGAAGACTACTTGAAATAAACCTCACGGCTAATTTCGCTGTGTGAAAAATCAAAAAAGTAAACGAAATTTAACAAGCAAGCTGTTTTGGAGGTTAAAAACATTTGTGAAGGTAAAACCACATCGACAAACCAGTGAGGGTCAGCCGGATATTTAGTAGACTTGGAGACCTCGGGGCTAGATCAGAATGTAAGGGCCTGTTTACATGGAGGTGGGGGACCCCAGGTGAGGTAACCCGCCTGTCTATATTATCTCTCATATTAATTTGATCACGTTTACATGATAGGTGGGGTGACCGCCACTTGTTACCTCACCTATCTGGGGTCCCCCACCTCCATGTAAACAGGCCCTAAGAAAATAAGAAATATCCATTAACGTTAATGGAAACGTACAGACGAACAATATCGATTCGGAAAACGGAGAAAACAGTATTCGTTTCAAATAAAGTCGAATCGAAAGAGTGTGCGCGGGGCTAAGTGCTCCTTGATCTTCTGCATAGCATTTTCTTTTCCGTAGCGGGTATAACTAGTCTAGTGAATGTTTGTTAAAAAAGAGAGTACATCAGTTTATAGAAAGGCACGTAGTAACCTTAATTTAACGGATGAAATCTTGCAAGTACTTAATCTGTTTTGGAAAACTATTATCTTCTTTTCCAAATCATGGACGGAAATAATCCGAGAACAGGAAGCCCGTTCTAAAAACAACAAAAAAAATGTTCTCCGCCTCTGTTTTCTTTTCTGTACCTGTTACAAAGGTCTGTGGCTTTCAGTGCTACATCAGATTGTTGATTTGTAAGGCCCATCTTGATCACAAACATCGTGCTACTCAATACTGTGCCTAACTCCATACATACATTATCTGACTTATAGAAAGAACAGGTCGTGCTTTAGTCGAACTAGCTATGTACGGTAGTAGTAGCACGATTGAGACGTGCCTAACCCGCTCCTTATGGTTTCATGACCTTTTGTTTCTCGCAAAGCCGAGTTTTATAAATTTGTCGCGTATCGCGCGTACATTGTTGTGGCTTGCACGTACATTTTATTTAGTATTTAGTGGATAGCACTTTTCGCGCATTTCGATTGGATCCCGTAACTCGGAATATCCTTGGCTATTCACTGTTTTGCGACCGGAGTCTAGATGGCGTCTCGCTTCGAGACATTTACGGAAGACGAAATTTGAGCAATAAATGAAGCAGTCATGCAAACAAACACCAAGAAAGTGACTAACTTTGGCTTGACGGTGTTACTGGTAGGTAGACAATTATTTTCATGCTGAATCTGCAACAAAATCGTAAAAATGCAGGTGACAAAATCCCCGAAATGTTTGTGAATTGTAAATAAAGTTCCTAGTAAGTGACGTTTTTAATTTACAAAAAGGTACTTTTTTCGTTTTTTCAACCAAAGCAACTATCCCCCTTAAGGTCAGAGAACAGCGCTAGCTATATACCTCGACCCCTCGCGTCTCGGTACATATATCCACCACTATTCACCTCCTCTTTGGGGGATAGTTGTGTAATATCTTTTGATGTCTTCAATGACGCCATTAAGCGATAAGTTTGGTCCGTTGTGTTAACTGTTTTTGCGGTCATTTTGGTGATCAAAAAATACCTCTGCCAGCAAATTTCGGCGGAAAAAGTATTGCAAAGAGAACATTTAGGCAATTTGGAATTTGGTAAAGCGCTTAATATTCTCTTCAACTCGTTTTGCAGCAATTTTTCAAACCAAGTTGCACGCCTGTTTTGTTGCCCGTTTTACCGTAGCATGAGTCGCGGGTTCTGCATTCTTGTTCGCCGGAGATGCGTTTCAGCTCGGCTTCTTAACGCAAAATCTTTCTCTTTTTCCTGGAATCTACCTCCGAATTCAAGTTGCATCGAGGTCAATTTAATAACGTAGCGCTTTTCCCGCCGATGGATCAAAAACTGGTTTCAGCTACGTACATCGATCGGCCGTCACGATTCCGAATAGAATTTGCAGGAGAACGTGCACTTTTTTCCATCCGGCGACCTTAACTTGAGTGCAACAACGTGTTTCGACAGGGTCGGCGAGATACATATTTCTAGTTATAGTTAAATATCTTAGAGGTTTAGAGGCTACTGAGACGACTTTTTTGATCCCGGTATTCCAGGAAGCAAGCCAGTTCAGAGCCCTCATGTTTTCAGAGAGATTGAAAGCAGTGCGCATGATCAGTTTATTAAGTATTGTTGCTGTTTTGGTTCGCTGGACTGGCCTAGCCTGGCGTGAGTTATTTATACAAAGGAAATTTCCCGCCCGGTTAGCTGGGATACTGCCCTATGATCATTAAAAAGAATAATATGTTGGATGTGCCAATAAAACACGAAATTTAAAGTGCACTTAGGCCAACTAAGAAATCCGTTTTTTGATTTCGTATTTTGTGGACCCCGACATCATCAACGTCGTCGAAAGAAAAGACGTTTGAACACTAGGCTATGTTTCAGTGTGGCGGACAGGCAAAAACGGAACGTTTCAAGAACGCTGACGTCGTAACTATTGCAGTACATGTATAACATGCGTACAAGATGAAAATGGCGGGAATAAACGATAGGATTGTACTGTTGCCAGGGAATAGCCTAGAAAAGAAAACTTGTCACTAGATTCGATCATTTTTCATTGCTTTAGGACCTGTTTACATGGAGATGGGGGACCCCAGGTAGGTGAGGTAATCCGCTTAGGTGGGGTAACCCGCCTGGCCATATAATCTTTCATTTTAATTTGATCACGTTTGCATAATAGGTGGGGTGACCCACCACATGTTATTTCACATACCTAAACAGGTCCTTAGTATAGCAATTAATATGCGAAAATGCAAGTTTGGTGACCCAAATGTTCTTTGAGGTAATGGGCTGTAGAGTAGTTATTGTTGATGTTTAATCTTTGGAACGCGTGAAATACACGTGATTTTAATAGCAAGGGGTACAAATTTAAGAAATATTAGCACTCCTTGTCTATAAATTCAAAAAAGTAAACTTGCTAAACTCAAGCTTTAGGCATAAACCATAACCATACTTTTGTTTTCAGTTTGTCGATTGACGAATAGTTTTCATCGATTATTCTTACGAGTCAGCTCCAAATAAATTTCGTTGATGAATAACTTGATGCAGCCCTTCATATCATTAAGCAATGGCAGAAAACATGAAAACTGTCATTTGCGAGCAGTGTGGTTTTGAGTTAAGCATTGACCCAGAAAATAACAAAGTACAGGTTTGCCCACTTTGGTCAATTCTGTACGGCCCTCAGGTGCAGAAAGGTCTTGAAAGGCTGCGGGCAATTTATAAGTTATGTCATAACCCCGGCCGAGGATAATTTTTCTCGGGGAGATACGTTAAGTCTTCTATTTTTGCGGCACCGATCAGTGAAAAAAGACGCCTGAAATATTCATGTAATAAAATCGCAGACATTAAACAAATACCTTAATAGAATCTAATTTTTATGCAAATCAAAATTTACAAGTCCATTCAAATTTTCGTTACCATAAATATCTATTTTGATTAATTTTTTTCAGTATATCGTTCATTGGCTTGTTATCCACTTCTTACTCAGTCCGTTTGTCACCGTCTTATGATTTTGTTCATTTTTTGCCAATGAACCTGGGACCAGATTACGACGTAGCGTTTCTTCTCTCTTCTTATCCTGCTGGATTTTTGTTTGTTTTGTGCTTCTTGCTCTAATAATCATTGACTTTTACAATGTGTTTTGTAAAATTTCTCTTTCCGTAATATACATCCGGCCTCCTCTTTGCTTAGCAGAGATCAGACGGGAACTGCTTCCAGGGAAACACAGAATGTGTCAGAAGAGATCACAAAAGAAACACTAGCAAACATTTTGTTTCAATATGTGGGAAAATTCAAAGAAATGTTCCATGCAGTGACTTATTTTTGGTTAACTGACCAGAAAATCGTTCAGAGTAATTGATCTTATAATTAAAGACAATTACAAAATTGAAGTGGAATTAAAAAATCAGAAGCCGAGTTGGCAACGAAGATTTGTGCTGAGGTTTTTTGTAACAAAATGTAGAAGGGCCAGTCCATTTATAAGCTAACAGACTGTTTACTTGCTTGCTTGCTTCTAGACTTAATTGAGCGGAGAACTATATGCATCTCTGGAACCCCTATGTATCGCTTACGTAGGGAGAGAAAATTACTTTTCTAGAAAATAACTCTTTCTTTATTGCCTTGGTAACCTTGTGAATGGTAAATGACCTAAAACCACGAATTGTTTACAATCAATGAACTCAGCGAGACAAATCACCATAGGGGTGCCCTTCATGCCGGTTCGGATTTTTAAAAAAATTTTATGATGGATCCAGTCTTTGGAACTCTGTCGCTATATACTTCATAAATTGGCAAGAAATCTTCTGATCTACAATGTAAGTAAGCTTTTATGCATTCCAGTTTATATGTGTTTGCATGTCTTTTACTTGTTTTGACTGGCAGGAAAAAATGCAGTTGACCCGTCAATTTTATTGAAATGAAGTATGGCCTATCTTTGCAGGCATTTAACGTTTGCACCCAAAACACATAATTGAATGATTCTTTGCTGCCTGCCTTAAAAATGAATGTGTATGATCGAATCGGCAAAGTCTTTTTTTTGTTTATAACATAACTTGTTCACTTCAGTGTATACTCCACGGGAGAAAATTAGACAGAGACTTAAATCATGGTGCGTCAAAACAGGTTAAGGAGTGAACTGTCTTTTATTATGGTGAACCCGATTGCTCTTCCTTTTTTCCTTAGACTTGCGCTGAAAGTTTATGACCCCCTTTACTCATTGGGCTATCAAAACTATCCCTCGAGTTAATCAAATGTATTCATATTCAAGCCGTGAATTGACAAAACAAAATAAAGAGAACTGAACTGTTCAGCATCGCAAGTGTTTTTATTCAAAGAGTCTATAACTTTGTTAGTTTTTATCTTCTAAGAACATTGCGTACAATCTTATTCCGTCCTTTGATGCATTCTGTGATCTTTTCACACTTTCTTAAACTTATATCATATTTGCACGCGGGTATATTTTTTTGCATATTAATCTAAGTTAACAAAGAATCAGCTAACTTAAAGTGCAGTTTGCGTTGTATTTTAAAGTCTACAAGAGTGCACAGTAAATTAATCACTGACCGAATAATAAATTCCAAAATTAATTATTATCGACAGCTTAGTAGTGCTAAAAGAGTAGTGAAATGGGTCAATTATAGCTGAACTGTGTCATTTCTTGTCAGTTTTAAACCATTTGTGTTGAATTTAGCTAAATCTAGATCATTCAAAAACACCTTTGGCCCCTAAATTTATTAAAGGGGAGTCACTGTGTAGAACTTTAAGTAATGATTTAAGAAAAAAGAATCGGTGCAGCCGTTTGAAGAGACGTTATTTCGAAAACAATTTGCCCGTCTCAGTGTTTTCAGCACCTGCAGAGTACTTAAGTTATAAGTTGTAATTATGTATAATTATATCGGTATTATCGCTTACTTAAATGGTTTGTTCTTACTCAACTTGAGATATAAATAAGAAAAGTACCTAAACTTATTCTTTTGCCAGAAAGTGATCTGTGAAGTACTTCAATTAAGTATTGCATTTTCCTGTGGTCTCTGTGACGTTTTCCCTTGGGAGCTGTTTGGCGCAAATTAATGACAGGATAAATAAATAACATATTTACTCTACTAAAGGTTTGGTTTATTTATTGTTTTCCAAACCTACACGACTTCTATGCTTGAGCAGTCAGTATCGCAAAAACGAAAAGTGGTAGCGTTTTTTTGTTTTATTTCACCACCTTAAAATCAGCTATAAATTAC